GTTATGTTGATGCAATAATTCACAGTATTTCAGTGACTTGGCATGCACTTTTTACACTGAAACTCAGATAAACGAAGTCAATGAAAAGTGAATATCCTTTATGTTCCAATTTTGTCTAAAGAAAAATAGTATATATTATATGAGTGATTATCCTAACTTTATTTTTCTGTTGAGTGTTTAAGGGATTGCTTATTTTTAAAATTAAAATGTATTTTTTTTATTATGAACATATCACATTATTTTTTATTTTTAAAAGTTTATGTAATGAAAACAACTTAAATTACACCCACAAACGAATGCTCACTAAACAGGTTACCCAGAATTGTTCCCACATCAAAAGACAAGCCACAATAGAGTCTCTGACATTTTAGGTATAGTTGGGGCTATCATCATAGCAATTGTGAGTTTGTGGCCACAAATTGAAGAACAGTTTGAAAATCTTGATACCCAATTTTTGACATTCTTGCGTTGCACTCACGAATTTGTTCTTTTGCGTTCATGATCATATCTTAATAAAAGCTCGAAATCTTTCTAATCTTTAGAAGCAAAATTGCCCGTATCAGCATGTGACCATGTAATAAGCGCTTTGAATAAGAACTGTAAAACAGAATGATAATCTTATTGGGGCCAACTTACCAAGAAGCCGACAAAATAATCTCTTTTTTTTTAGGTTTGACAAAGCCATCGAACAAAATATTTAAACCACTAAAAATTAATATTATAAAAATTTTTACACGACATAAAGAGAGAGATAATTAACTATTAAAAACACTCTCATTTAATGGAGTTTTTAAAAACATTCTCATTTAAGAATGAAGACAAATAGAGAGAGAGAGATTTGCATTCGCTTATTGAAATTGTCATGAACTAAATTAATTATATAAAATTTTTTAAACTTCCTTTCACTCAAAAACTGATCACCATTCAAAATTTTCAAATATTTGTCCTTTTTAAGATCGTATTTCACATATCCTCATTTACATAAACAAAAAATAAAGATATAGGGAATTTGTGTAAAATGAAATTGACGGAAAGCTGAATTGTAACGAGTAAAATATTAAATGACTAAATTTGAATATAAGAAATTATTGGAAGACACAAATTATATATTAATATTGCAAAAACAATATTTTTATTTACCTTTTTAATATTTATCTATTTAGAACAAGGACACTGTAAAGAAAAGAAAATAGGGGCACACACCGAGAGTGTTGTTCTTTCTCCCACACAAGTCAATGATGCCCATTACGTCTTTGCTTGTTGACTCCGCAACGTAGAAAGGAAACAAAAAGGTTCATGCAACACCAGAATTTAATAGAAAGAAATAAGCAGTAAACAAACTCAATTTAAGTGGGTTTTATTTTAAAAACGTTGGTGTTTAAAATTTTAAAATATTGGAACTCCATTAATTTCAAGGAATTCATAATCTCAAACATACTATATCGATGTCTTTGGTGTGTTGTAAAATTCATTCAAGAAAATTAAAGTGCAAAATGTTATATAACTGAGATTACCCTTTGGGAAGAAGGGGAAAAAATCTCGCAGATCCCACTTATGACTTCACAAAAAATATCATAATTAGGAAATGTGTGTTTATATCATATTACGATATAATTAATTATGTGAGACTGCTCAACGTTATACTTCAAAAAGAGACATAATTAGGAGATTGTTTCAAGGCCATATATAGAACATAATTTCTTTTTAGCTATAATAGCAGCACTAATTGCTACCACATGCTTGCATGAAAAAAGTATCACAAGGCAAATCAAAATCATGCTCTCTTTATAAGGAATGCTAGCTAAATCCTGTCCATTGTTTATAAAGCATTGATATGGTAAAGGTAGACCTCAAACAATGTTTATTGATTGCAATAGATATCTATCATTGCTAACCACCATTTGCTTCCTTAAAAGGACTAGTTTCCACCAAACTAAATCCCCCTGGTCGGTACTTTACATCTTGAACCAATTTGTGGATCATAGTTCAAATCTAATGGAGCTAATGTTTGTTTTCTCATAAAACTTTTGTACTCAGATACTCAACTAATTGCCAGTACCCACACAGACGTTTTTATAAGTTTGTCAATAAAGAAATCATCTAATAATCTTCATCTTTAAATGTGTTTCTAACTATTTTTCTATCACTAATTAACCTATCTTAAAAAACTCATATCAAGCAAATAACTGAAAATTATTAATTAAGTTAAGTCTCATCAAACTTAGTGTAATTTGACCCGATTTCTTCCCTAACATGAGGAAATAACATTGCAAGACAGTTTGCTAACCATTGACTGCGTGTTTAGAAATGATTAATTTAGAAAATTAATTGCTTATTTTTTAAACGAATTTTTAAAATTTAGCTCACTGTTTCAATAAAGATAACATTCTCAATCTTCACAGCTTATTTTCTTATTTTTAAATATTTTTTAAGTCTTATCTCTTATTTTTTTTAATATAAAAAATATTTATTATTAATTAAAAAATATACTATTTTATTTATAAAATCATTTTAAAATTAAAAATTTTGTTAACTTTAGTCTTTAGAATTGAGTTTAAACATTTATAAATAAAAAACTTTTATAAAAAAAAGTAGACAGTTATTGTATTAAATTTATAAAAATACAATAAATACTTCTTTTTCTAATAAAATTTTACTATTATTAGCTGTTTATTCTCAGCTTTAAGGACTGAAATTAACAAAATCTTAAAATTAAAAATATTCATTTAATATGTGATAAACTTTCTATTTATAATAAAATTTCTTTTTGAGAAAAAAATGATTATAGAAATTATTAACCATTAACTATTATTCCCAAATGTAAATATGCTTGGTATCTTTTTTCATTACCTCACTTCTGGTGCTTAAAAAATGTGGAAAATATACATGTAAGAGGGATAAACGCAAGATTAAGCGCAAGTTATTTCGATTGTTTGTGGCATACAAGACCAACTCAGCTAACTTACACATTCAAATAAGCTATTAATTTTACGTTATAAAGTATATACTTGAATAGAGCGAGAAAATCATGAACAAATAAAATAAGGGCAAAAGGGGCAAATTTATAGCATTATTTTTTTTACTTCTAGTTATTTGCGTAAAAGTGAAGGGTGTTGCTAAGTTGGTAAAAGAAACGAGAGGCTAATTTAATAGGATCTTTCTGTGTGGCCAGTGAAAGAGAAGGGCTTAAAATGTGTGAATATGGATCTACCTTTTTGTCCACTTTGGAATGAAGAAGAGTGGAGATAATGATTTTGCCTCAGACACCAAGATATGAGTGAACTTGTGGCAAATGTTCACCATATTCCCTTCACATTCCAATAGCAAGCATTCACATAGGTGTAGTATGAATTGATTCTCCTCATTCTTAGAATTTAATATCAGAAAAAATATATATTAAATGGGATTTAGATTTCACAAAGTGCTAGTCAGGGGAAAGTGTATAGGACTTCTCTATGAAATATAATAGAAAATCCAGTAGCTATATAGTTTAAGAATATTTAGAGGAGTTGTGTTATAAAATAAGTTCTGTAAACCAAGCATGAGAATTAGCCAAACTAATTTAAGTGCATGGCTGACTCAATCAAAATGGACTAATTCTTTCTCGAGTTATAAACTTTTTTTTTTCTGTTGACAAAATTACCAAAAAAAATATTGGTAAGACATAAATTAATTAAACTAAACGTGTGCTAGAAAATATTCAAATTTCAAAGTAATAATTTAAACATAAAATTTCTTATTTTATTTTTTTATTGAAAATTATAAAAACACTATTTTTTGTATCGTTTTTCAAAAAAAGCAAAAAAAAAAAAACTTAATTTTTTTTATCCTAAACGCGTCTTAAAATACTGGATCCTGTAATAAAAGTGCTTATCAATATTAAAACGGGTTATTCATATTCAATAGATTAGTTTTGGGCCAACTTGCTGTTACATGCACAAAAGCTTACTCCCTCACAGGCTTTCAAGTTTCATGCCAATCGGCCGAAAACAAAAATTTCACCAATAACTCTAAACAATGAACATGTTTTAACTTTTCATTTTAGGTCCATCAACAAATAGGACTCACATTTCTCACCAATTTGTTGGCCCGTATTTTCAAAACGAGCTTCTGACCAAAAAAAGTACGTGGGAGATAATTTTAAGGAGTGAAGAAAAAATTTTATTTGATTGTAACTCTTATTTGAGAATTTCTAAAAGTGAAGTTAAAAATTTGTACTTATGAAATTAGTTCTTCAAAAATTTAATCTATCACTAAATTAGTTTCTCAAATTAAGCATATGCCTTGCAAAATCCAAAACTCTATTGTTATTTTTGCAATTATATCTTAACTTGGCTTCTGATATAGTTTTTCTTCAACAGTAACATATAGACCTTAATTTGATCAGGAGGAGTTGGAGATAAATTATTAACAGGATTTAACGGCATTAACAAAGCTCTTGGTATTTTCACAAAGTAACCAAAATAGATTACAAGAAAGGGTAGACTGTTTAGTTTACAACTTGAAAACAGTGATTTTTTCTCTAATTTGAATTTAAAATTGGATATATTATTTAAGGTTCATGGCAATTGAATTGTGATATCAAATCTTTCACACTTAATATTAACTTTTAATGTATATTTCTATCTTGAGATAAATTAACGTATATATTATTTTAAAGTGTACCTATTGATATTCTCAAGTGTTTATTGTTATCCTGGTTTAAATTTTTTTCGTATAAATTATAATTATGTTAATAATAGAAATATTAAAAAAAAAACTTTTTTCATGCATGAATCTATTCAAGTAAAGGATAAGGCCCAAAATTCTCTGCTTTTACAAAAGAAAGTGATCTTAACTTCCAATTTGGTCATAAAATGTTATTATACATAACTATAACGTGTGTGTATATATATAATCATTGAATAAATATCTGGAAAAAAAAAAAAGCGTCCCCAATCCGATTCCGTGAATCAGAACACTATACATATCACAAACAATATTTTAGCATATAGAAGTCAAATTCTTTACCTTTATAATAATCTAATTACAATATTGTCACTACAAACCAATAGTTCCCTCCCTCTGTTTCAATTATCATTCACCATGGACTTTGCATTACAATAACAATAGCATATCAAATTGTTTTAATATAGGAAAGGAAAGGAAAAAAAAACAAAAAAACTATAAAAACCTAGGAAATTTCAAATCTAACGTTAATTAATACAAGGATCTAAAAACCAAACCGGTCTAACTCGAAGGACGGTTCGGCGGCGGTACAGCGATTCTAGCCGGAATGGGGCGGCCGGTTCCGGTTCCGCCGCAACTGCTGCAACTCATTCGGCCCGAACCAGCACAGGTGCGGCAACCTATGTCACGGTCGGACCAACGAGAACAGAGGCACGTGACTCGACCGGTTCCGTTGCACGTGGAGCAACGAGGGAAGGGTTTAGCCATGGGGTTGTGGTCCATGACGGACTTGACGAGAACCGCTCCGGCTAGGACGCTGAGCCCGGTGGCTAACTGGGTTAACACGATCGGACCCATTATTTGGTTGGTGCAGAGTGCAGAAGGATTGAGGGAGAGAGAAGAGAGGGATCTTTATTTTTTGAGTGACAGAATAAAAAAGAATGAGGGAAGTGGTTGCGGAATTGTACACGTAGTCGACGTTGTGTTTGTGTTTTGGTGAGTGTTTGGAGTTTTCTGAGATATCTTTGCTTCTCAATTTTGATTTTGATTTTCTCTCCACTATGTAGGGACCAGACATTCTCGACTTCCCGTTTCTTTTAATTTGTGGAGTTGTTTCGAATAGATTCTTGAAAATTTATGAAAATATTTTCTAAAATTTCAAAAGATGATCTTACGTGGAAGAAAATTATAGGTTACATTTGTAATTTTAATACTATTTATGTTATAAATATGTATGATTTTTTAATATTTTTGTTGTTTGTGGATGTTATAATATCATGAGCTTAATATGAAGTTATCTTAAAATGTATGTACTAATTTACTAATTTAGAATAATTGTCACGAACAGAGATCGACATATTATATTGTTAGTCCTTATTTGTGAAAAGTATTGTTATTACTGTATTATAACTCTTGCTCTAATACATGATAAACATTAAGTTTAAAATAAGTACACTCGTATCGACTATATTAAGAATTTTTACAGATTCCATAGCATTTTGTGCTATAGAATTTTTTGGGCGAACTTTTATTTACTATGAAATTTAATATATATATATTTTTTTTACCTTCAAGTACAAGTTTTGTTCTTCCAGTTTTATAGGATATATATTCAAGATTTAATAATATATATATATATATATATATAATTAAATGATGTATATATTAAAGTTTAATACCTAGTGGATACTATGAATTCCAACTTGAGTTACCAAGCGAGAGTCCAAAATTCCCCGCCTCCTCCTTTTTGCTTGTACTCTTTCATAGACACGTGTTAAATCTATTTAGTTGCGAGTATGATAAGCTAGGATTCGGGGGGTAATGTTGTCATGTGCATTGTGAAAATTTAAGTATGAGTTAAAAATTAACTACTAATTCATCTTTTGTATTTGCTGACTAATTAGGAAAATATGTAAAAAAAAATCATAAAAAAAAATTTAAAATACATAAAAATGAATATTCTATAAAAATATGGGTGAACCATTCTTTTGTTTGGTTTAAAAAATATATATTTCTCACGTGAGAAATTATGTTATAAATTAAATTATTAGAAGTTATTAAAATGAGTTAATTTATTTTACAAGCTTTATTAAAAAAAACTTTTTAAGCTATTGAATACAGCATAAAAATGTTTAAAAGTTAATGTGTTCTTAGTTCAAATTTCAGCGTAAACTATTATTGACGTTATTGTTAAATAAGGAGCAATGGTTTACTCATTTTATTTTTAGGAACAAAGGAAAGGGAGGGAAGGAGAAAGGGTTTTATAAGAGGGAAAGGATTGGGGTAATGGATTAAGAAAAAAATGGCGTGCAGGGGCGTTCTTCGTTCAACCATTCTCATACAACCCATTCTACACCATCGTCCTTTCAATTTCAATTATAATAATCACAAATGCAGCAACATTCACAACTGCACAACTATTTCCTCTCGCCAATTTCATCTTCCAAAACCGCCTCTGTTTTCTTCTCACAACCAAACGCCGTCGTCTCACGACGATCAAGAACATCCCCCTCAGGATGCTGTCTTGAAGGCCATTTCAGGTAATTTCAACAATTTCATTTCGTTTCCAAAAATTCACTATCCACAAAACCGTTAACCGTTACATTTTCATTCAAATGTTGTGGTGTTTGTTTGTTGCAGAGGTTTCCAAGGCCGAAGGGAGGGTTGGCCAAACGACAAACGTGGTTATTGGAGGCACTGTTGCCGATGATTCTACCAATGAATCGATGGCTTTGGACCAGAAGGTTCTATTTCACTGATTTGCGATGAGTTGTTTTGTTTACGTCACATAGCTACTTGAGAATAATCGATAATGTGTTTGTGTGACGTAGGTGAATTCCTACCCAACCGTTCGAGGATTTACAGCCATTGGAACTGGAGGTGAGGATTTTGTGCAAGCCATGGTTGTAGCTGTGGAATCTATTATCGAACAACCAATTCCTAAGGTATAAATCCACCTAGTAGTTTTTGGAAATTGAAATTTTGTTATTGGAAATGTTTCTGTAATTTATAACATGCTTAATTATATATTTGGTCCTTGACATAGTTGGAGTTTTAGTCCCCTGTTTTTTTTGTTTTTTGAGCTAATTAACTCTCACTACTTTAAATTTGTTCAAATTTAGTCCATTTGTAGATTTTCTTCTGCCTAAAATACTCAAATTCTCAGTCTTTTACTCAAAATCTTAATAAATAAATTGCAACGGTTAAATTGTTTCCCCTCTCAAAACTCACCGATGATACATATTACCACTTGGGGGCATAAGGTTAAGTTTGCGTCTGTCCTTGTATTTAATCTTTGGAGCAGTTTGGCAACTCTCAAATCTAGTTTTGAACTATTTAACTAGTCTTAAAAGTTGAGGTTATTTTTTGTATCTTATTTTAGCTTAAACTCAGTTTTGTTAAAAGTTGTTTTATACTCGCTTATCAAATATTTTATAAATTTTATTTAAATTAAAGAACTTAGTATGATTATTGGCCATTGGTTTGAATGACCAATCCCTACACTTATGACCTCCCATAGATCTTATTTGAGAGAGAAATAAAGAACAAAAAATAATGGAATTTCAGATTGAAACAAGTTGGACCCAGAAAGACCAACTTTGGAATTTGATTTTGTTGTTAGTAAATAACTTTATCTCAAATTGGTTTTAACAAGAACCAGTTTTTAAAAACTTAAGATCTCTCCAAACACCCTCTGAGTGAGATACGGAGATTGAAATATACTATGAATAGTGAGATATTTAACACGCACTGACAAGGAAAAAGGGGTTAACCATGACCCCGCAAAATGAAGAATTTTGATCAAACGGTTTCACATTGTGAAAGGACTTTTAACCATGCACTTTTAGTTGCCAATGAGTTGTGAAAGGTCCATAAAATTTCTTTTGGATGGTGCTGAAGGGGAAGGAATAGTATAAACTTTGTTCGTAGAGTTCAAACTTGTACATATGGCTAGTAAACCTAGCTAAAACAAACAAAAAAATAATCTGGAAACTCCTAAATAGTTAAAACACTGGTTACACTACCTGCTTGCTCTCTTACACGCACTCAAATTGAGAGTGAGGGAAAGAAATTTCGTGTTAACTTAACCTCACCAATAAGTTAGCCAAAACTCCTAAGTAGTCTAAACACTGATTACAAGACCTGCTTGCTCTCTTACACGCACTCAAATTGAGAGTGAGGGAAAGAAATTTCTTGTTAACTTAACCTCGCCAATAAGTTAGCTAAAACTCCTAAATATTCTAAACACTGATTACAAGACCTGCATGCTCTTTTATATGCACTCTAATTAGCACTGAGATTATTCATGATTGTGGCCTCTTAATTTGCCATCAATACACAGCAACTATGTAATTGAATGCAAGATTGAGCGTGAGGCATCTTCACTATTAGACTCCAAGGCTTGGCTAGGTCAGGTCACCCTAAATCAGCCTTGGTCTGATCTTAAGTGAGCTTTGTGTGAACAGTAATGATTTGATTATTGATGATTTACTGGCACAAAATGTTATAATGTCTCACATTGACTAAGGGTATAGTCTCAAAATATTACTTAAAAAGCTTGAACAATCCTCCTACCTTGAGCTAACTTTTGAGAATGAGCTAGGACTAGCTTATTTCTACTTTCTAATTCCAATACAAAAAGCAGAAAAAATTTTAGATGGGCCTTAACTATATTTCTGTTCTGAATGAAGGTAATTGGTTCAGAATGGCCAAGGGGATGATGTTGATGATTTTGCCTGCTTTTAATTCACTTTCACGAACAAGGACTTGTATAGTAATAATTGCCAACCTGGTATTGATCACATAAAATATATGCTGAACTGTAGTTGAATTTTATTTCTTGTGTAGTTATAACTTTTTTTTCCTTGTGTGCCGTGGCTGTACAGCATGATGTGAATGTAACCCTTAAAGAGTTTGCTACGTGAAGACGTAGAAGATTACTTTATTCAAATGTTATCAGTATATTGCATCTATATTCACGTTTACCCAGTGATTTAGCCCTTTGCTCAAATGGTATTTGACATCTTATCTGCTTGATTTTTTAACATCTTTATTACAGGGTCATGTGAAGCAAAAGTTATCATCAGGGGGAAAATATGTATCCGTAAATATTGGGCCCATTCAAGTTGTTTCTGGTGAACAGGTCTCTCTGTCTTGTTCCATCCCTTCTTTCTTGCTCTCTAAAGGAAATTTTTATAGCTTATTTTTTATACTTAAAGAATATGAGGGATAAGAAGGATAAAAATCCCCTAGTTGCAGGTAGGAAGGCCGGCTGGATATGTTGAGATTTTATTTACATTTAATAGATGTTGGGTTGTAGGTTGATTCACCATGCAATCAAGGTCGGATTTATACATCTTGATATGGACTACTGTATTTTCAGGTCCAAGCTGTATATAATGCCATGAGGAGAGATGACCGGGTGAAATATTTTTTATAATCTGTCCCATTGTTTTGCATAGAACGCATCTGCAAGGTATGTACAAATTACAAAAACGCGTGCTTTCAACTAGTTAAGCATTAATTAACTCGTGATATCATTGTAATCAGAGTAATCACGGGTGCAAATTGGATTTCTTCTGTTTTCCTAAAGATGTAACAGTATGATCTGCTGCTATTGGATAATATAATGGCCCCTACTTTTTTGCTTTTCATTTTAGAAGGGAAATTAGTAATTTGATGACAGACTAGGTTAGTTTTCAAGTTTTTTGGGTGGAAGAAACAATTGGAGAAGATATTCAGATTTCTTTCTACAGAGTAGGATGTGGAGGCCTCTTGAGATAGTGAGACAGCCTTTCTTTTTACACCCCATACGTTTTATTTTCGGAAATTTAATCCCAATGACACTATTTCCGAAATTTGAAAGTAATTTGTAAATATTTTTTATATAGTTTAATTTTTGGAAATTAAATTTTAAATGTGATTTGTAATCACCATTGAAATTAATTTCTGGAAATAAGGGGAAAAAACCTTGAGAGGGTGCAGGCAGAAAAAATGGGGGTGTGAAAAGAAATTCCCCCTAGTTAGTTGATTCGAACTCAAATGGATGCTGCCCCCTTTTCCATAACCTTTCCATCTCTTCTCCCCATGCCCCAATCTATTAAAATTCTTCGAAGTCGTATCGTATTTAACTCTTTTTTATTTTTGCCTTGTTTCCAGAATTTCTATTAATTTCATTTCAATTGAAAATTCAATAAAAAAAAAATTGGCATTTCTATTAAAAACTTCTGAACTTGAAAGTTGAACTGAAACTTATGCGTGAGTTATATATATGCACGAGGAAAAGCTGTTTGGGCATCCGAAAATTTTATCTAGTGAAAATCTGTACCATATAAATATAGAAACTGATGAAACTCTTTTTGTCCATGGATTCGAATGTTCTGCAGTTTACATTTGCTTAAGCAAAATAAAATTCATTGAAGCAAATTTGGCAAAAAATTGATTTTGATTAAAGTCCAAAAAATTTGTTTAAGCTAAGAAGTAATTTTTGCTTAAATAAAAATAAAATTTTTTGCTTAACCCAAAAATAATGGTGAGAAAAACCAAAAAAAAAATAGAGAGATGGAGGCAAGAGAGGAGAGGGAGGTTAGGTGGGGTGAAGGGAAGGAGATGGTATGGAGTGAGTGAGGAAGAAGAAGAGGAGGTTGGGATGAAGAGAGAATTTTTTGCTTAAGCGAATAACTGCATGCCACAATTCTTGCAAAAACTGCCGAAGATCCGTTTTCGTTGTAATAAGTTAACATGCGTGTAACTCACGTCAACACTTGCTAATAGTTTCAGAATGCAACGAAAAGAGTGATATATCTAGCGTGACGTGCGTTACTTCACTAGTGTTGGATGATTTTAAAAAAAATTATATATTTTCATAATTTTTTCATAACACAATATTTTAGTAAATTTTTATTTTATTTTTTCTCACCTTGATAAATGGTGGTGGAATAATCTGCCATAATTCAAAGAAATAAGCTATTTATTATTATTATTATTATTATAAAAATTATTATAAAAATTATGGTGAGAACGTGAACTGAAATCAGAGATGAAACCGAAGCATGCACTCCTAGCAGTAACGATCATGATGAGTGTGATTGCCCACTGAAGTGATCTGAAATTGCCAAAGCCTGCACTGCCAGAACCATTAACCGGTTCTTCATACACACAAACTCCTCCGAGTAAGCCTTTATCTTCCGATTCACACTGTGCAAACACAAGTGCATGTTTGCCAAGTTCCAATAGTCTTCCCACTAGGTATATGGATCTCCTGCAGCCAACTTTCTATACATTTATGAATTTCTACCCTTCATTTAAAAAAAATTAATTAAATATAAAAGGAAGAAAAAAGATGAGCCATTGGATAATTAATGCAAGAAAAATTATTGCAGAGGATCCGAGTTCCCCCATTGGTGCCTAGAAACCTGCTAAGGAAATTAGTTGTTACACGTCCATATGAAAGACGAAATCAAAATCCTATATATATATAAATCAATTCAATAGGACATATATGAACTTTCTTCTATGAATAATACATGGCCTTCTTTATACTCCTTGTATTCGCTATATAGATTAAGTTTTCTATTTTGATATTATTCACATGACTTTATGTTTTGATATAATGTTTTGACTGGCCTTCAATACATCACAGGTCCTTATTGCTGATCATAGGTCTTTAGATCCATCCTAGCTTAATATGTAAAATTAAATTTTAATTTTGACCAGTATTTTATCCACTTCTTTATACTCTTGTCTCACTTCAATTATCATATATATATTAAAAACAAAATACTTATTAATGATAAAATAATTAATCTTTTTATTATAATATAAAAATTATTATGTTTCTTTAAAAATAATATAAATTAATTTTTATTTAAATTTTTATGAAAGAGAAAAGATAGTCCTTTAATTATTTTACGTATATTTATTTTATATATAGTTAAAAAAAATTTATGAATATAATTTGATGCATTATCAATATAATTTTTTTTACACTATTAACTAATTAAAATATATAATAGATATAAATTTTAAAATAACTATCATTAAAATCAATCATTCACTAATATGATCATTTATAATTAAAAAAGAATATAATTTTTTATCCTATCAGTAAATTTTAATTAAATATACAATTTATTAAATAAATATATTTTTTTAAAAATTAACTATAAAATTATTTATTATTATAAACATTATTGATTTTATATTTCAACGCACAGCTCATGAATTGAATATAATTGTCATATAAATCTTGAGTTGTTTCATGGAGATTGCTAAACTTCGTAGTCGCCCCTTAGTTGGATGCCATTAGTGATTGTTTAATACTAAGAAGAATCAAATGCATCTGTTTTGGCGGTGGGCAATTTCGGTCCACTCGTTAGTTTCTTTGGCATCTGTTGATAGGTTGGATAGTTTGATGAAGAACACTCTGTTCAATATCTTACAAGTCTTGTTTTGGTTAGTAATACTTGAAGCTCCAGCTTCAAATCAAGTGCTTATTTTGTGTCTTAAGCCTGATTAAATAATTGTCAATGGTTGATATATTATTACAATGTTCATGATCAAGCACGGTGATTTTTTTAATACATTTATGGATATAAAAAAAATATTAGTACACACTCTTTTGTGTCTTTTTATTGTTAAATTAAAATTTATTAAAAATTTAAAAATACGAGAAAAAAATTAATTTAAAAGTAAAAAAATGAGACATATATAATTTTAATTAATAATAATATGTTAAAAAATGATATTAGTAACATTTCTTCGTCAACTTTCTGTGCGGACAAAGTCTAACTAATGATAACGTTATATCAAATGATGCCATCATTTCCATCTTGAACTGGTTATAGTCAGTCGTTGAAACAGTGAGGCATTAATCCTTTCCTTTTCCCACAAGTTTAATAAACAATGTAACATCTATTTCTTAAAGTAAATTTGGAGTCAAATAATTTGCATTAAATTTTTTTAAAAGCTTATAATTAAATTTGATAGGGAATCTTTTTACTCATCGGTATAAAAATTATAACTTATTATATCTGTTTAAACATAAATTTAAAGACAAAATTAAATTTAATCAGTTCAGCACAATTCTAAAGATACATTCATGTTTCTATGCATGTTATAATGTCGTTAGGCAGAGGAGACGACTTTGATTTTTTTTGTTTTTACAAATTTTCCTGGTACTATTTTGCTCTATCAGTACATAAAATATTTAAATGAAACAAAAATATTAGCACCTAGTATTTATACAAATTTAAAATAACTAAAAATAGTAACATTTTATTAAAGGAAAAATTATTTATTACATTAAAATACAAAAAATATAATACAATTTTTTTTCTTAAGAAACTTTTTGTGTTTAAATATTTAAATAAATTGTATGAACTAATATTAATAAAAACCAAAAATTATGAAAATTTTTCATTTTCCACTTAAATTACTCTTTCTATTCTTTTCAATCTATCCATATTTAAAAAAATAAACTTTTTTTTTTTCGTCTATTAGAAATTTAGAAATAACTTTTTCAAATATATTATTATCCCAACTTAATTTTTAGGCAATCGATATATTCATTACAAATAAAAACAAAAATTATATAAATAAATAAAAAATAAATTAGATTTAACATAAATGAAGATATTCATTAAACTCTTCAATATTGTATTATTTTTCACAGTATATGGATAAATAAAAAAAAATATCTAATTTTAAGTTAGCAAGAACTGCAGAACCAATTATATGTTGAATTTTTGTTGAACAGCATTTAATCGACATAAATTAGGACACTCTCACGTATGTGAATAAAACATGATTTCTTTTCACTTTTTTTCATCTGACGACGTGTGGAACAAAACACAGCCCTTTTTTCCTTCTTACCTCTGCCATCTCGATACGGACGACAATTAGATCTTCCACGAAAAAGAAAATCGAGAGTAAGGTAGAAACTATAAAGAAAATTTGATGAAAAAAGGTCAAAAGAAAAAAAAGGTAAGATAATCAAATCCTCTTGTGTCGGCATCATCAGCACCCTCCACCTGTAATCCCACACACATTCCTCATTCACCTCTTTGTCTCCGTAAAACGACAACGTAAATTGGTAAATCTGTAATGTAACATATGGTACTTTCACTATTCACTACAACGCTGTTTCTATGGACGCCACTCGTTTTGAATCATAGTAAGAAAAACAAAAAGAAGAAGAAGAAGAAGAAGAAGAAAATAGAGAGTGAAGAGGTGCATATTGGGAAGGCCTAACAGAAACGAGCATCGTTGTGAGTGTGATTACCCTTTGGAGGAATCTGGAAATGCCAAAGCCTCCCAACACCTTTAACCAAATTCTTCCTACAAAGAAACTCTTCTGCATAAACCTTCTCCACCTTCCGATCCACGTCATGTAAAAACACGTGCGTCACACCCGATCCCTTCCTATTCCTCGCCATCACCGCCGCCGAGAATATCGCCGCCATGCGTCCCGGCGCCTCCGCGAAGTACCCTCTCGGCGCGTCGATCATAATCAAGTCCCACTCCCTCTCATACACCTCCTCGGGGAGGTTATGAAGAGCCAGCTGGCACCGCTCGTTGCCGCGAAGCGTGGCCGTCTCCGGAGAACACGCCTGCTCCGACCGGTACCCAGAGAGAAGCCTGTCGGCGTCGCGAAGCTGCGTGCGGTAACGCACGGCGTGGGCTCGGAGCTCAGGCGCGTCCTTGAGGACTGTCTGGACCCACTTCGGGTCCTCCTCGAGGAACAGCGTGGTGCCACGTGGGTTGATGCTGGCCCACATGAGAGAGTCGTGGCCCAGCCCGAATACGAGGAAGTTTGAGGGGCGGCTGAGGGATTTTAGAACGTCGAATGTGACGGTGATTTCGGAGAGTGATTGTTGAGGGACAACATGCGAGGTGGCGTAGTGGAGAATCGCGTGAAACTGGATCCATGTGGGCTCGTTTTTATTCAACTGTTCTGGTCTGGTTTTTGTGAGAGAACATAGGAAGGTGTTGTAATCTGAGGTTTGGATCAAGCTGGCTGTGAAGAGTGATACTCCGATTATTCCCAACATTGCCGACAGCCACACCCAACACCGCTTCTCCGGTAGCTGATAGCGGTTCTTCATCTTTCCGTTGACTTGCATTGGTTTGTATGTTGAGTTATGGTTGGTGTGATACTTGCGAGATATTTGTAGGGAGTTCGTATGATTTTCAAGTGAGGGATAGAGGATGGTTGGCTAGTAGTGTTGGGGGAATACAGGGTTGGCAACTCGCATTCATTATTATTACTGTTTTAAGTGCGATTTGGCATTCGCAATCACTAATAAATCTAATTTAGTTACAATTTTTTTTAAATTTAATTAATTAATTTCTACCTACAAAACTTATACCATTTAAATTCAACCATCGTAAAATACTTTGTTATTTTGTAATTATTACTGAAAAAGAATTATTTTTTAAATTTATTTTATCGATACAATCTAACAGGAAACTAATATATATTTTTATTTAAAATTAAAAAATGGATTGGTAATTGCGCTGCACGACCGTACACTAATGCAGGGCTTGGTGTTGTGTTGGGATTGGGTGAGGCGAACACGATTTTGAAATTGAAAAAGTGGGGTTGCGGTGATTGACAAATTTGTTCTGTCCTGAGATATCAGCGCAGCACCACGTGCTACTACAGTGCTGCTTTACCCCTGCTTCCATATCTGTGCCTCTATCTGCCATGTCAACCACAATTTATGTATTTTTTATATGAGAAAAAATATATCAAAATGAATTTAAAAAAAAAACTGATTAAAAAATTATAAAAAATTGCCTTCATATTTTAATTTTTTAATAATTTTTAACTATTCATCTCAAAATTTCTGTACCTGAAATAATGACTATTTTTAAGTTTCTATATTTTTTAAGAATTATAGTTTACTGTATATTATTTTTAAATACTATATATAAAAAAAAACTGATAATGGGTGAGAAAATTCGTAACGTGTGCAATAAGTAAAAGAGAAGCTGCAGGAAAATACTTGTGTAGACATATGGTCCACGTTAATAGGACATGCCAACGTAGTAAGTATAAAAGGGTAAAGAATTTTTGAATGAATTAGAAGTACATGTACCGCGAAATCGAAAACAATATCTAAAATTATAGGAATTATTTGTATTATTCCGTGGATTTTGAGCAAAAATTTGGATTCGGATCTCTTCATGTTCGAACATGACTTCATTTTAGACTTCATTTTATTTAAATGAATATATAAAAATACACGAACATGACAATTATATTTAATTTCGAACATGAAGAGATCTGGCGCAAAAAATTTATGCTTGATGAAGCAAAAATTGAAGTTATAGAATCTGCTTCTACCTTTCTACCTTTGCATCATTCATGGGTCGCAATCAGCACGGCAAATGCATAAGGAGTAAAGATCGTCCATGTTTCTCCCTATTCTTTTCTATCTTCTTACTCCACCCCTCTCCTTTACCAATGGTAAATAAATATTATTCACAGTTTTTCAACAGCTAAAATAAATACATTTAAAAAAAATAAACATGACTCTTAAGATTTAAAAATCATGAGAAAATTTGAAACATGCATAACCTTTCTTGAGTTGTTGACTTTAGTAATTCAAGCAATAAGACGATGGTTTGATATAGTATGTTTTATTCCACGTTAAAACACACATGTGGGTTCTAATATATTTTAGTGATTACTTACAATTTTTGCATTAAATTTAAGTTGATAGATTAATTACAATTTAGTGGCCCAATACATTAATTCCCTTCACATTGATAAGAGGATGTTACAAAAAACTGTGAAGGCAAAAAAAGAAATTAACTTCGGTTGTCTGTGGAGCTTTTCTAAACTGAACGAAAAAAAGCTAATGCCATATTTTGTGTCTCTGCCACTAGATTGTCCTCTTGATATGTAAAAGATCAAATTTATCTCTATCAACCCGTAAATGGTCATCAATTTTGACATTTTAATATTTTATTAATATATCCACTTCTTATAATCAATGGACACATAACATGTCCATGTTAGATAAAACTTACTTTTAAATACTTCGTTCAATGTTTACTTTATATTGATGCAAAACTGGTTCTCTTATCCTTTTCCAACCATTGGTAAAATAATATTAACCGGTAAAGATTCATCCACCCTTTCACCAGTTGAAGGGGAAGGATGCAACACAGACCATGCATATCTTAAATGACTTCTATTTTTTTCATATTAACTAAACAAGGAAACTTTTTTTCTCCACCCTAAACCAATCCCTCATCTCTTTTTTCACCATAAATTAACCAAACCAAACAGAATATAAGCGTCACAATTTTAATAGAATGAATATATAATTTTAGAAAGCATACATTCGTTTAATTTAAAGATTGAGATAAAGCTTTGACCTGTCCTTCTCACAAACTTCCATTTTTTATTTTCATTTTTCATATATATATATATATAATTTAATTTTTGAAATAAAGTTTAGTATATTTAAGAAAGAAAATTATTATATTGTTTATTGTTTAGTCAGAAAGAAAAAAAAAAGAATTATGATATGAGATTTCTACACATTTTTTCCTATCCTCTATACGAACATTCAAAATGAAAAAAAATTGTTACATTATTACACTATTTCATTAAAAAATAAAGATAAAAATAAGAATTATATAATAGTTATTTACATTATTTATTTTAATTATTAATAAAATATCTAGTTTGTGAAAACATAAGAGTTGAAAACGAATTAATAAAATATATAAAAAAAAAAGAATTAATAACTTCCAACTAGGTGGACCAATATTTATAGAATTTGAACTATAAAACAAATTTATTTTATTTTTGTGCATATTGAAATCCGTTTAGCTAATAGGTGTATATTTATGAAGCTATGTAAATTGACCACCCACCCTTCCAACTTTGGACACAACTGTGGCAGCATTCATTATAGAGACAGAACTCAGAAAGAGGTGAAGCCAAAGCATTGGCAGAGCTGAAACGGAATCAATCAAAGAAACAGGAGAAAATGAGAGGATGGGAGTGGTTGTTGTTGAGCCTCTTCGTTCTGAGGATGGTTCACTCGGAGGGAGCAGATTTAGCGACGAAATGCAACATAGTGGTTGAGAAGGTGATTCCGTGTTTGAACTTTGCAACGGGACAGGTGGCGGTTCCGACGAAGGATTGCTGCGAGGCAACGTCGAAGATAAAGGAGAGTGATCCAGAGTGTCTGTGCTATGTCATTGAACAGACACATAAAGGCAATGCAGAGGTGAAAAGCATGGGTATTCAAGAGGATAGGCTCCTTCAGCTCCCTTCTGCTTGTAACTTGAAGAATGCCAGCGCCACCCACTGTCCCAGTAAGTCCCTTCTTCTTCTTCTTCTTTCACTTTCGTTTATATCAATTTTTACAAAAATTAGTATAAAAAATTTATACCTTATTAAATATTTCTAAGAAAATTTCTTCAAACTTTACACAAATTGGACTTTAATCATTTTTTTTTTTGTGCAAGGTATTATTATCTTATAAATTTTGACTGTATTTTCTATAATAAATTTTTAAAAAATTATTGTTAGCCGTTTATTAAAATAAACTGAAATGTTGTTTTTTTTTATAAAAAGTTATAAACTATTAACGAATCTGATGCTAAAATGAACTCAGTAACTAGCAATACTGTGTTACAAAATTATCAACTGGATTGACTTTTCAAAGGTGAGAAAAGGAACTTATGGGGTGAAAGTAAAATAATTTATCTAATTAGACCTTAAACTGAATGAGAAAAAAATTATTTAGTTTAATTATAAACGTGTATTACAAGACAAATGTTAACGAAGTGATATAATATTATTTTAAAAATTTAAAATATTTTTTAAAATGTTAAGATTTTATTAGGAGGTAAATATTTAATAAAAATTTATTATTTTTTTAAGTTTAAAATTGTCCTAAAAGTTATTGTTAATAAATCTGAATATTTATTCAAAAGTTATATTAGTATATTTTTATTTTTATTTTTAAGAAGAAAAAACTTATGTGTTATTCTTTAAATACTGTTAATGCTATCTACTGATTAAAGTTAATAGTTTACGTTAATAAAAAAATATATATTTAATTTTATTTTAAATTGTTGAAAAAAATTAATAAATAACAATCGCAACACTTAAATTTTGTCTTCTTAATATGCTCTGCTGTGTTTTTAAATAAAGAACTTGTTTATTTATACTTGAATAAATTAGATAATTTAATTAAATAAACTTGTGATTAAGAATAAGTTTTGAGTTACTATTGATTAAAACGAAACACACATGATTTGAATGTGGACAGAGCTTCTGGGTCTATCTCCAAACTCCCCTGACGCTGCTATCTTCATGAATGCTTCGTTGGGAACTAGTCCCTCTTCAACACTCGTCTCAGAGAACCACAATGGCTCCAATGGAAGCATGCTTAGGCCTTTTCTTATGCCATATCTAATATTAGCATTATTCTCCTTGCTATGAATAATATTGGAGTTGGTTCTGTCAGCTTGAATTGAATGACTCACTCAATGAAAGTAGAAGGGGTAGTTGTTTTGCAATTATAATAACTGTGTTGCTTAGTGATGAACTTTAATTTGTAGTAGATTGCAGCATTGAATTCTAATGCACCTGCAACCTGTTATGTTGTCTAGAATTTTTGGGCCTCTCTTATGCTTCTCTTCAATGTCCTTTTACTTCTCCACGTACTACAATCATAGATTATAGAAGGAATAAATGTCCCATCAATCTAACTCTTTCGCTATTTTCCCTTTATGTTTTTTTTTATATACATAATCTCTTTTTGGTTGTACGTTTAGAACTTCGAAGTGTCTGATTTAGGAATAATCTTAAAATTTAAAACTTCCTTTATCTCCAAATATTTGTAGTCCAAATATATATAAACCCCGAGTTCTAAGATACAGATTAAGTATTTGAAAGTTTTATTATAAATAAAGTATTTATTTCTAATTTTTTAACAAATTTTTTTTTTTAAATATTTAAACTCAAATTTAAAAATTTATATTAAAAATTATTTTTTTAATAGATATTTAAAAATAATAGAAAAGTCACTCATGGGAAACCTCGTAAATTTTAAATATTTTATCCAAAGAAATCAATTTAAAAAAAGGGTATTTAGAAACTGAGGTAAAATCCATGAAGTGTACATTTTTACTATTCTCAAGTGTCTATCATTATTCTTATTTAAATAATTTTTATCCAAAATAATTTTTTTCTTTTATAACCATATTTATAATAAAAATCACAATAAATGCATCGAATTAACAATAAATATTCCCAACCACACAATATATAAAAAAATCAATTTAATAAAATAGTTAGTGTTTATAAATTGTGTATAGATGAAAGTGTTCGAGGGGTAAACTGTACATGTATTTTTTTAGACCTTAAATTTTAAGGTTTTTTTTTTTTTTTTTAACTCAGAACTTGATTTTAAATTTAAAGAAACTTGATAGCATGGAGGTCTAATTAACGTTGAGTTTAAGGAAGATGAGATTAAATTATCTCAAACATTTTTTTTTTGTAAATATGATAAGAGTTTTTTTTTTTAATGTGTCTAATAGATTAATAATAATTTTAAATTGAACGACTGAATTAAAATTATTTAAAAAAAAGGCTATTGAAAATATTATTTTACTAAACTTGGCATTTGATGTCATTTGATTTTAATACCTACCAAATGAGAGAATATTTTAAACGTTACAATGAAGAGTGAATTTTGACAATTAAATCCAATTATAAATAATTAAGATTGTAATATAAAAATATATAAAATTTTAAAATAATTGTATGACCATACAATATATTTTAATATTGATGATTTATACATGATTTTATTCATATTTAATTTTTTTACCTCTCATATGTATATATTAATAAAGGAGATGAGGCTGATATTGCTCTTTCGTAGATCCATCCATCCTATATTTAGGTTAATATTATTTACGACGTCTTTCATGGTACCATTGAATATGTATTAGGGATTAAGTATAGTTTTGGTATGATATTATTGTTTTTATTTATTTATACTCTTTATATTTAACAAGGTTACATGTTTTTAATTCTTCACCAAGAATATGTTTATATAATTTCAAATGATTAAAAAATTTAAATAAATAATAATTTTGAAATGTTATTTTTTAAAAAAATTAAAACAATATTTAAGACAAAAAAAAAACATGTGAAGAGGTATCAGTAATCAAAAGATTGGCTGGAAATTTGGATCGTGCTTTGGGCTTAAGCCTAGAAGATTTGTTGAGCTGCTTCAAGATTTTTTGACCAAAGTTTAAATTAATCATGACAAAAAAATAATCGCATCTCGACAAATAATATAAAATAAAATAAAGATCATTTTAGTGGGTTTTCCATTTCAAGTGAAACGTTACAGTCTCCGAAGTTTTGTGCATTCGATTACCCTTTACAGTCACTGCTCGTCTTCATGTCTCAGGTAAGGCTCTCGTTCTGTACTACATTTTATTTTATTAATTCACCTATTTCATTTTCTTAGGTATTACTTTTTTATTATTACAAATTTCTAATGTAAACAATTTGATTGGCAATGAAGCATATTCTGATTTTGCATAGCCACCAATTCAATCACCAGAGCAGAATGCAAGGATAACAACGTTTGCTTTTTCCATTTTCATTCTGCAGCTTCGTAATAGAAACTCTTCAACTTCTAAGTGCGCCAGAACCGATGGTAAAAATTGTTTTTTAACCATTTTTCTAGTGTAAGTTTTTATAAAAAATTATAAGATATTACAAAATTCAAAACTGCTTTTTTATAGTAAGTATTTTTAATAATGTTCTTCAATTAAAATTAAAGTTTCAATAATGTATGCCAAAACTTTAATGACAACCCTTAATGCGTGGATTATCGAGATGAAATTTTGATCTTGAGTGTATAGCAATACTAAAAGTACTTATGGTATTGCCCTAAAGTTTTATCCAATGTTAAATAAATCATCCCTTACAGCATTCATTCTGTGGTGCATTTCAATTGCGTTTGTTTTTGTCTGTAGGTAGTCAAAGGGAAGATGATGATGACATGCCATAGCTGTGGCAATGTCAATTTCTCTTTTCAGGACAATCTGCAATATGAGTAAATGCACTTAACCGAGGCCCACTGCTCTTGCCTTGGTTAGATGAATAAATGTTGTACTGTTGCTGAAAATATGATATAATTTGCATGTTGCAAATGATTTGAAAAAGGTTTTATCCGGCTCCAGTGAGAATTGGCATAAGCATGTGCTTTCATTTAAAGTAATTTTTATTGTGAAATACTAAAGTAATTGTCTATCTTAATCCAGAAATATGCTACCAATTCTTTACAAGCTCCAGTGGGTTATTCATACTCAGCACCTTATGTCGTAGGATCCAATTTTCTCCGTTCAACATATCTTGCTGTACCTGTACCGTCTTGTGGGCCTCCCCTATGGTGTTTCATTTTCTGGAGGATCAGCTTATCATTACAATTATGGAAATCACTTTTCTGCTGGCACTTCTGACGGACCACTGCATTTATATGGGCTAATGCCATACGTGAGTGGACGGATGACAGGAAATGGTAATGACGGATGACAGGAAATGGTAATGTAATGCATTTATCTTCTTATTTATGAAAATGGCCTCGTGAAATAAGGAAAAGAGTATTGGGGGGTGGGGTGGGTGGGGGATACAGTAGCAATTAAAATGTCTACTTCTAATATTCTTTATTTTTTGGGATGTGCTACAAACACTGTTGTTTCTGAACGGAAAAGTCTTCTGTGCAGTGCCCAAGTAAGGTTGTATCCATCCTTGAATTTATATCCCAATTTACTTAAAATTAAATTAAGAGTGAGTAAGCATTACTGAAAAAATCTTTAGAGTGAAAACACCCTTGCGCATGTTACCCTTTTTTTTCTGGAAATTCTTTTCTAGGTGGGATGTATGGTTTGCACCCTATAGTGAGCCTGTATGTGCCGGGTATGCCTATTGGACCTGGAACAATGTCATACTATATAAACTCATTTGTTCTAAACTTGTTTTTCCAGTATGATATGTGCTGAATTTTCTTATTTATATTTTATTCTGCATTATAGTTTCTTGATGTTTTCACATGATGAATTCTCAACTTGTTCAAGTTAACTACCTAGCAAATGCCAAATATTTTCTTATGTCACTATAGGCTTGTCAAACTGTGTTTAATTCTTTTACCTACGCTTATTTTCATATTGTTCAAAGGTTGATTTGGGTAGAATCCCTGGATGAGTTGAAGAAGCTAGACTTTGTCAAAAAATGTGCAAATATTCTAAGGTCAAAGTTAATAGTTAATATTTACCTGAGCAGGGCTCAATGCTAGGAACTTTTCCTGACGACTTGTCTCAGAAAAACGACATAGGTTTACCATATTTAACTTATGTAAATTTTCATTGAAATGGATGCTTTTTGTCCCAGTTTTATTTACACCCCCTCCACCAAAACTTCCACTCCATAATCCGTACAGGTACAATTCGTGAAAATAACTGGATGTGTCCAAAATGCGGTAATATCAACTATCCATTCAGAACTGTCTGCAACACGAGAAAGTGCAACAAACCAAAGCCTGGATCCCAGGTTTGCTCCTTTATTTCCTCTGTGCACATTGATGGTAAATTTATAATTAGCATTGTTTGATGTGAATATTATGTTGCAGGTCTCAAAATCAGATAAATTTTCTAGTGAGTTGCATTGTATATCTGTCTGACTGTCTCCGCTTAATTGATGCAATTTTAAGATCTGATACAGAGCATTAGTTGATAATTATACTACTTTATTTCTACTTAACATTCAGAGCGAAAAATGCCTGAGGGAAGCTGGAATTGCGGAAAATATGTTACATAAACTTTACGATCAGAACCAAGTGCAACAGACAATCTGAATCAAGTAAATCTCCTTCAGCAGCTTCAGATCAAAATGATCAGGTTCGTTGTGTAATTATTTTTCTCATTTCAATAGCATGCATTGCTTGTGCAACTGTTGTTGATTTTTCTCTCCTCTTTATATACATAACGGACCTCATTAAAATCTAGTCTGCTGTAGAGCGTTTAAATGGATTCATTGGGAAAGTTCACCTTTTGCTGCCTTTCATTTGAGTCCTGAAACAGCGTACAGATATAGTTTTTTACTTTTCTTCATCTCTCTCCATTGCATCCTTTGATTTGCTATTATTTACGGCTCCAGTGAGTACTCCGACATGTTTGAGTTTGAGAAGGTCCAGAGTTGTCTTCCAGCATTGCTGTGGGTGTCTGACAGTCAGTCTTTTCGTCCTCTATGTTGCGCAGCCCTTGTGAAATCACTCACCTTTTCGTTATCTGTGTCAAGTTGTATTAACTAGGATGGTAATTGCCTTTGTGAATCATTATAATGCATGTGTCAGACAGCTTAACCTGGCAAAGATTTTACAAGTTAGTTGTGGTATTTCATAGAAAGGTGCCCTATACTCAGTCTCGGAATCAACTCATTGTACTAGTAGTTCGTTAGAATGTGCATTTAGAAGAGGTCCAGTTGCAGAAATTGCAAATTTTTTATTTTTATTTTTGTAGTTTTCGTTTGGTTCTTAACTGTCTGTTTAAGCATCTTTAGATATTAGATTATCCAAAAGCATCTGAAGATTCCAAGATTTTAGATAATTTAGGTTGTGCCATAGTTTTAGCATTGGGTAGTAGATGAAAGTGTCTCTCTTAGCCTGTGTCTTCTTTTGTGTCAGACTCAGTGCTTGTGGCAAGATAGTTTGGTTAATCATAGATTTCCTTTTACTCTTCTAGGATAATTAAAGATAGCACCTTGTATCGACAATATTAATATATTGCACTGGGGAGATATCTGCTGGAGCTTGAGTGCCGTTGTCGTGAAGGCCAACTTGTGTTCCCATGCTTGTGAAATGATGGCCATCATTACTAATAGTTATGGCATTTTTTTAAAATATATTAGTTTGAAGATATAATTAGCCAGGGCTTTGTTTGAAAAGAGGGAAGAAAAAGTGTGTAAAGGATAAGGAGAGGAAAAAGAAAAAAGAAATAATATTAATACAAAGTCTTTTAATTTAGAGAAATTTAAAAATATATAATTAGGAAATTGTTAAAGTGTTTACAAATTTTCTCCCTCTTATATAAATATTTTAAATAAAAAATTGTATCATATAAATCTTTTTCTTCTTTTATTTTTCTCTAAAAAATTAATTTCCAAATAAAGGATTTTGTCTTGAAACACAGTTATAACTAGTGAAATTACGGCCATCATTACTAATAGTTATGGCATTTTAAAAAAATATATCAGTTTGAAGATATTAATAGAGCAAAGGCTTTGTTTGAAAAGAAGAGAAAAAATGTGACGAATAAGGAGGAAAGGAAAAAGAAAAAAGAAGATTAATATAAAATTCTTTAAATTAAAGAAACTTAAAAGTATATAATTAAAAGTTTTAGAGTATTTATATAAATCCTCTCTCTTATGTAAAATATTCTAAATAAAAAATTATATCGCATAAGTCTTTTTTTCTTCTTCTTTTCCTTCTAAAAATCAATTCCAAATAAAGGATTTTGTCTTGAAACACTGTTGTAACCGTGTTTTCTTTATATTGTAGAAGAAATTCTGTTGTTGGAAAATTTTGTGCTGTGTATTATGCCTGTTAAACACTCCTCTCGCTTGAGATGTCGGCATGTTGGGCATGTTCCCACCAATTACACTTTTTTGACACGTACATATGTCAGACACTCTGTCATGTGCCTACTTAAAATATTTATCTTTTCTCTTGTTTTGTTTCAGAAACTTGGGTAGCGTTTCAGAAATTTGAGCCTACCCCTTCGTGTGATTCATATGGATGGATACGAGGGCACTAGAATTATTAAAAAATACAAACAAAAAATCAGAACTTTTAATTAGCTAAAGTAAAATAAGCTTAAAATATAATTTAAAATATTAAAAAAAGGCCTTTGTGCCTTTTGGGGGTTCTTTAATACTAACAGAGAATATATCATAATAAGCAGATTTTATCATTTAAATCTTTTGTCATGTTGCTTGTATCTAAGTTCATTTGCGGCCACTCTCTCCTCTCTAAATTGCACATGCACGGCTATGACTCTTGGGGTCATTTTCCTACATTAGCCATGTAGGTGTTGTGTCCAATGTCAGTCCATATTTCCTAGGTGCATGCTATCTTTATATCATCATGGTCTTTTATGTGTTAGTGTTCCAGTCCATGCATATAGATAACAACCGTACAATAGTAATTCATATTAAGATCCATTTTGATGTGTTTGGTCGTCGTTTTTACTGCCTGCCCGCTTTCAACGCATGACAGAGAGTAAGTTCCGTCCAAATTTTGGTCTTTTGAATTACGTGTTGATGTTAATCAGTTTCCAATTGCTGATAGAGACAATTCCATTTAACTCGTACAACTCCTTTGGTAACACATTCTTTGCCTTCACTAACCAGTTCTGCGGATATAATAGAAATAAACGGATAAACAGGTCCGAATTTGGGGAAGAGAAGTGCTTCTAGCTGTAGGCTTAAGAAAAGTGCTTCTAACTGTAGGCTTATTACCATAGTTTGTCACTAAAATATACATCAGCTGCTCTTAAAATGTTTTGAAGTCTCAAGCAGCGAATAAAATATGCCAAAAAATTACCTCTAAAAATGTGCTTCATGAAAAAAAAGTCAAAATTGTGTTGCAACATTTACACTAAAATTTTAGCTTGACTTAAATTATTTGAACTTTCTAATAGGTTTAAAAGCTTCATCTAGATTTATGTTAAAATCCTTTCGGTAGTTTTGCATTCTAAAAATTCATGTGATATGTATGTAATAAACTATGATTTTAGAGTATTTAGATTAGTTGTGAAGTCTTAGTTAGATTAGCATCTCATGCTTAATTATGTTATTCTATTGCATTTTAGCTATTGAGAATGTGATAAAAAAATAAAAATCCCCCCATATGTTAAAAACATTTAATTGATTATTAATTAATCGACTTTGTTTAAGTGTTTACTTCCGTAAAATGAATTATAAGTTATTAAGTATTGAAAATAAATAACAGAATCCTATAGAAATATAAGAAAATAGACGAAAGATGTTTAGATAAAAAGAGATAAGTTGCAGACTTGAATTAACAAATAGGAGTGAAAATTAACTCCACGGGTTACCAATGTACCATTCTACACAACATATTCTCAATAGTTTTCGTCCTTGGCATATTAGGACGGTTGCAAAAGATAAGCCTGCAAGAAAGCAAGTACGACACACAAATAGGATTGTAAAAAATATTGCAAATTTACAATACTAGATATAAATGTACATATATACGAATAATAAATATTAAACTTCAAATTAATTAGTTAAATCTTCGCTTAGCTCATCACTTTCATTGGAAAAACACTTGAGCAATGCCTATTTTCAATGCCATGTTCTACAAAAGGAAGGTAAACGGGTGGAGTGTAAAAAAATTCTTTATAGAGTCAGTGGTGAATCGTGTTAAATCTAATAGAAGTGAGGCATACCAAGCTGGAAACTGAACTGGTAGAGGAAAGTTGACAAGAGGTTGGAAACTCATTCTTTTGTATCAAACTCCACAATTGTAAAAAAGAAGTAGCTAAACAGCATGCAAAAATATTTCCTAATTCTGATTTCCATGTTTGTATGACAACAAAAGAAGAAAACAGGGAAAAGAAACATAGTCATTGCAACAAAAAAATAAGTGGAATCTCTATTCCCATACCCATATGTCTATCGCCACTCCAATTTTTTAAAAAAATTATGTAAAATACCCTTATTATTGATGTAATAATAAGAGGGAAAAAAAAGAATATTTTAGACAAAAGTGACTTGAAAGGGTGGGATAATAGACATATGGGCGTGGCAAACACACCCAAAATTAGGTTACTACAAATCAGGACATCAGGATGGAACAAACCTTGTATATAAATTCATTGGATTGTCGAAACCATTCTGATGAGAACATTCGTGTTAATCCAACTGGTCATAGGGAAAACCAGACTCGTAAGGTTCTCTGAACAGCTGAAATTCGTGAAAGCGATTGTTGTCATCACTATTCGAGTAGATCCACATGCTGGAATTGAGTGGTTGATCGGTATGCCAATAATCTGATGAAGCAAGGGGTAAGCGCTGATTCACTGCATGCGTCATGGGCTGAGTGGTAGTGATTGTGTGACTGGAGTGTTCAAGAGAAATAGATTTACTCTCGTATGAACCCCATGAATTCGTTGACAGAAGAGAGAGAGCACGGTGAAAATCTTGCGTAGCATTTGGATCAGAGGAGTTTATGGAATCTTCTACACCTGCAAGTGGTATTACCAAATGAATAATACCGTGGCAAAATATATTACACTCCAATTCTTTCTTCAAGTATAACCTCCAAAATTCTTTAAACTCAATTTATTTTAGCACGAAAAAGGTAACGATATTTGCAATTTTAGGATGGAATTAGCAATCAATGTGGCCAAAATAATTATATTATGTCCAGTCATAAATGTAACAATGTAATGTGAAACGACCTCGATCAATACTTTTGGATGCAAGGCCTTTCGATGTAAAACAGATGTCGGACTCATTGGAAAGCATAGTGACAATTCTGGGCATCTCAGGATTTGTTTTTGCAGGCTTCATGAGGAAATCTTTTGTCAGGGGAAGCTTGCTGCTGTGTATGTCTTGACAAGCTAAATTTGCAGCAGTCCTAGAATAAGCAAATGGACTCATTTGTTGTCTCACCTCTGCAAAATAAAGATATATTAGAAGATAGAAGGGAACAGTAAAACTTGCATGTCATTATAAAATGATTGATGCAATTAGCAACAACCTACTAAGTAACTAAAAGAACTAAAATGGGCTGTTATTTGGTGTAAATTTTGACACGCAGCAAAATTCTAAGTTGTATTTTTACTAAATCAGGTTTGTTCAGGAGTGACATACTCATACAATGCAAGTAAAGATCACTTTATTACAATGTCATTACTCAAGTCCAAACAATCATGATAATTACTTATATCTTGCAGTTATTATAGTTGCCAGAAACTTAATTTTGTTTTCACATAGCACATGACTGGTTCACTCAAGGGCATAATACCCTAGTTTCCTCAACTACAACAGCAACATCCCTTTTGACATAGTACATAATTAAAAAGGTAGAACAGTTAGACTAAGCAACATAACTATGATGGTTCCTGTATGCAGAGACATGGTTAATATGGAACCATTACAAACACGATTCTTGAACATGCTTAATCTATGCATGTCACAGAAGAATGGGAATCTTTATAAATTCAGACATACAACATAGAAAGTCCAATTAAGTCCATAAAATAAAATAAAAAAATGAATAGAACTTATATCAAGTTCAAAAGAGAGAAAAATGTACAAATCTAAGAAATTCTATCACGTCATTTAATGTCTAACGTAAGGTAGAAGAGTTATACCACAGGGTGCTGAAGACAAGGCTGATTTACTTAATTGGACAGCTTCAGGGAGAGGTTTCCGGCGCCTTGCATTATGATCTAAAAGGCGTCGTCTGCAGCTTCTCTTTTTTTCATCAAACTCTAACAGACCATGGAACCTTCACCATTATAAGCAAAGTGATAAATTTAACCAATTATTCAATATGAGGCAAGAAAATAGGAAGCTGAATCAGATTGACTAATCTTAATTCCTAATCTAATGTTATTGAGAATTGACCAATACCTAGAAAATATTATTACTTTCCAGTGTCAATTTCATCCAAACAATGAGATGTTTGTTAAGAAGCTTTACCTGCTACATTGTTGGCAAAATCGGCGCTCCAAACCAGCTACAATCACTTTAGCGGATTTTGAATGACTCTCACAAACTCTATGTTTGCGGTGGTAATCTTTAGCCGATGAAAGGTCAACACCACAACCTTCTACCTGGCAGCATGGATATTGTACATTCTGACCATTGGACTTACATTTCTTTCCTATACTTAAAGATGAAATGGGATCCTTAGAGAAAGATAGGTTCTTGGCATCACTTCCTGGGCAAACATCTTCAAAGTACAACCGTTTACCAAGCTTTAGAGTGAGCAATGGTTCACCAGAGACAGAAGAGGGCTCTAGTGGATGAGAAGTTTCTACTGGTTCTTCTTTAGATAATTCTTTTTTAGCACTGGAATCATCTTGGGAATTTTCAAAAGTGAATATAGATGTTTTGCTACCCATATTAGATGATGAATTGATGGAGGCTGATTTTGAGGTCCTTGATGAAGAAGCATGTATTAACTCAGATCCAGAACAACCACTGCCACCCGATGTATCAAACAATTCAACATTGATTTCACGGTTTGCTTCACCACTCCAGTTCGGCGATTGTAATTTTAAATTTTCTCCTGCTGGCTTTGTATTCAAGAAAACGTGCTCCCAGTCCCACTGTGGGGAAGATTTTGCATTCCACTCCATCAGAAGAGCTCAGAATTTCAGTAATTCCCAAACTACAATTGGCAAAAAAATGTTACTGCTTGAGTTTCTCTACAAGCAAAGAAAAGTAAAACAAGCTTTATAGATATTTAACAAGTCATCGAAACCATACAGAAATTTGATTAATAATTTAACTAAAAGCATCAAGAATACCTGTATATTTTATTTTAGAGAAATCATCATAAACACACAAATCTAAGAAGTGTGAAACTGTCACAAATTTCAAATAATCAAAGTGTTAATAATTGTTATGGAGAAAATAAATCACTCTTACAAAGACAACATCAAGCAACATTATTCTGCAAATCCATCCATGAGTTGGCAGGCAGATAGGTGGCTGCAGTTTAATGGTAAGAGTTCTCAAGGTGATATATCAGGCAATCCCCACCATTCCCCACTCATTTAGTCATTTATACATTGTCCTGGTAGATTTTAAATGCACACACCAACTTCCACTCTTTCAATCAGTGAACCTATGTAGTTTAGTCCTCGGACAGGGCTAGCTCCACTAACATTTCCCAAATCTAAACTTCTATATTAAATTTACAAGGGCATTTTATAATTCATTCATGGCAACAACATAAAGTACTACCAAATCCTTAAACTATACCTGGAAGGGTTTCCCCCTATTGATGTGATGTGTTTAATCTCTTCCTACAAGTAATCAATACTTCCATTTCAACATTGGAAGCTTCAATTCGTATTTATCACAGCAATGTCAGAAGTAGTCGGTCATTGAATGAGACCCCACAACAACAACAACCCAATAAACGATAAAATATGTAGATATACCATAACTTCCAGCATTAGAAAACATTAGCAACAGAGCCAGTGTTAGGCCTTTGTTTTCCTTCAAAATTAAGGCCAACACAACAACCCATCTCCCTAATCATAAATACTTGAAATCAATCAATCAAGATCCCCAACAAAAACACAACAATAACATGATTCATATCGAATGCTACTTCTTGGGTCCTATGAAAATGACCAATCACGTTTGCTTTGAGTACGAGTATCACCACCTATCTATCATTGACTTAATGGAAAAAATAACGCAGAGAGGGTAATACTAATTATTCTGATCAAATTCTTAATACACAAAAAACGAACACATGATTTTTAAAAAAAAAAAAAAACAGAAAACTGGGTTTTAGACATTTGGTGCTAAAGTTTCAGACTTGGTCCCTTTACCCTGAAATTTCGCAGCAGAAACACGGAGAAAGAAGGAACTTTCATAAAAACCTAGCTTTCTCAGCGACGCCACTTTCCCGAGAAAATGATAAACCCAAAAAGGGTACAGAGATAGAAGTTAGAGGAGGAAGAAGAGGACGAAACAAAAAAAAAAAGAGTAGCTTCGTTTTTGGGCTTTTGGGCATAAAAGGTGAGTCTTTACTTACATTATTATTGAAGTGATGAGAAAAAAGGTTGCAATCTGACTCTACCACAAATGGAAATAAACAGTGCAAAAGTGACACTGCCAGTGCCCATACGACTCAGTAATCATCAACAACAACTACAATAATAATAAATTATTAATAATAATATTAAAAAATGGATATAAAAATAAAGAGGGAGACCAAAAAGCGTTTACATCCGTCAACTGTGGTCGAAATTAAGCCGTTCACTTTTTTCACTATTTTTTTTATTTCTGATTCCCCCTAATTTGGAAAATCGAATTTTAAAAAATGAATAAATAGAAAGGGAAGAGAGAGAGAGAAGAACATACTCACTGTTGTCAATGTGTGGAATTGTGTGGTGCGACAGAGAAGTGGTAGTAAGGAGAGATTTATTTAAATAAAAAGGGTAGAAACTGATGAGCATTATTATTATCTATTTTTTAACGATATATGTTGAAAAATTAATAAATAATATTTCTATTAAGAGTTATAATATTTTATTGTACGTTGTTTTATGAGTTAAAAAAATATGGTATTATTATTAGGAAAATGATTTGAATTGAGTTGGTTGCGTTTGGGTTGAGAATCACAGAACAGAGGGGCATGAACAGTGACAGAGGACAGGTGGAGGCAATAACACCACTGTATTATGTATGCACCCTCTCTCTACACACACTTGTTATGTGCACTTCTTTCTTTCTGTTATTGGCCCAGTAAAATTCTTGGAATGTTTGAACATGTGACAATTTTATTTAATATAAATTTATTTTAAGTTATGAATTATAATTTTTACGTTTAACATATTATTATATTTTTCAACAAATATCATAAAAACCTTAAATAAAAATACGTCTACACTTTTCTTTTTTTTGCTCTAAGAAAATAATAAAGAATAGTGTAAAATTTTGCTTGAGATCATAATCACATTGGGAATTATGGACTCTGGCAACACAATAACAATAGTATCCTTCAAAGCCACACCCTTTTGTGAAGGAGCCCAAAGTTTTGATCTTGAATGGTTGATACGGAGAAAATGGGGTATCAAGATTGAACCAAACCAAGAGAAAGAGCGAAAAAGAAGTTTTGGGTTCCTGCACTTTGCGTCTAAACAATACTTGATATGTCAATTTAATTAATCTATCAAGATAACTAACATCAAAATCGTAATGGGATGAATGTTATTGATTATTACATAAATTAAGATTTATGAAGTAAAATGGTAATTTCCTTCTTGTTCAACCAAAACCTTTCGTCTAAATTCTAAACCTTATGATGTTCCTCTCTGGCCTTTTGGATGTTGTCGACCACTAAAAACTTTATTCTAAGTTACATTCAATCATTTACGATGTCGGTCAATGTGATTCTAACCTCATCCTAATGAGTCATCGTTCTTTCTCAAATTTGTCGTGACTCTGCACTTAGACAAAGAAAAATTTCCATTCTTTCTCGAATCTGTCATAACTCTCCACTTGAACAATGAAAATTTGTCGTTCTTTCTCAAGTTCACACCTCTCCACTTTGGTCGACACCTACTTGTCTCCAACCACACTCCAAAGTTTTTGAATTTTGTGATAAAATTTTGGCTACACTAGGCGAGTGCAATCATTATATCTATGCCAGTAAAGTAACATGCCATGAACCCAAAGGAAAAAACAACAAATAGGAATGGCTACAAAGATGATGATATCATGCCAAGAACTCAAGCAAATACAACCAATAAGAATCGCATCAAGATGGGTGGTATCTGAGTATTTAAGAATTAAAAAAATAATTAAAGTAAACTTCAATTTGATATCATACTTCAATAATTAAATATCTTATAAAACTAAAAATTTATCTCAAATAAGATACAAGTTCAATTATATATTTTATAATAATCAATTTATAAATAATTATCGGATGAATAATTTATAATTTTTACAACAATTCTAATTATTATGAATTTTTTTATCAGGATATTTTATTATAAAATATTAAAAAAAGAGTTTGTCTTAAATAAAAGAGAGAAAAAAGTTATATATATATTGAGACAAAATTTTCTTATATCAATATAAATTTAAAAACTCTTATACCTAATTTAGACTTTTTATTTAACTTAAATCTAACGGATTATAATTTATTATTTTACTGATTGTTAGATTTAAATTAAATAAAAAATTTATATTAAGTGTAAAAATTTTTAAATTTATATTTTTATAAGAGTAAGAAAATCCTTCTCATATATATATATATAATATTAAATAAAAATATATTTTACATATATGTAAGTTTATGTAAAGGAAATTTTATGGAATGATATTTTTTTTCAGCACTTCTTCCTACCTTTTCCGTACACTCACTTTATTTTCGTTTGGTAGAGTTTGCCTTCAGAATAGTAATAGTTGAAAGATGAATGATTGGAATTGGAGTGTTAAAGAATGATGCACTATATTAATCTCTAAAATTATAAGTAACAATTATTTAAGTTTCTAAAATTATAAAGATGTTGTTTACTCTTTAAAAATGTTATATGACAATTATTTTAGCTTTTAATTATAATATTTAAAATTTCATAAACAAAAATTAAAAGGCTAACTATGATAATTTTATGAATTAAAATTATATTTATAGATTTTTTAAAATTAATTTTATTAAAATATAGTGTATTACTTATTAAAAAAGTAGAGTCTAACTCTTAAAATCTATTTATGAAAGATGAGTTATATAGGATCAATTTATCTTACTGTCATAGCTTTGCATGTCTTAGTGGGAGCAAGTTCTTTTGAGTTTATCCACACCAATTAGCGGTTTAACCCTTCCATATATGTCATATCCATACATACCCACAATATCCATCATCTTCATTGGTTTTAGGGTCACCTAAGTTTATTTTTGCGATTGTTCTTATTCAGTCGTATTATTTACACACATAAAAAGCCTTACAAGCTCTTCTTCTTCTTATTAAAATTATACACAATTAAGGCCCTTTTTTTTTTCCTGTGAGGGATGGATCATGTGCGTCAAAAATGGAATGATTTATCTCACAATTAAAATTTATTGTGACTTGACTTTATAAAAATCGTGTTTATCTTTCTTTAAATATATTCATAAATTTTAAAAGATCCCTATTATTTATTTTCAATGAAAAGCGAGGTAAACATAACCATCGCATAAAAGCATAAGAAAATCCAAATTTCATATTTAAACAGCTTTGATTTTGTACTTTGTTGTTGATTTTAAGCATTTTAAAAAAATTATCAAGAAGTAGAATATTTGTTAAGTTAGAGATATAAAAATATAATAACTATTTTTTAAAATAATTTTTATTAATTGTTTATAACGATCGAAATTAATATTTTTCAGAGTTTTTTTACCGTATTATCCAATTTTTTATATATATGTTAAGACATCAGTGTAACTAATGAACATGTTAATGATGTATTATACAATTTACCATGTGCAAAATGAAGGACTTAGACCGCGTGACTCGACAATATAAATACGATAACAGCAGAAATAGTAAGGGATGTCGTGGGTTAATTATATTTGCATTACATTATTTTCAATTGTTTCCTCGATAAACGACACGATTTTAAATCAATATTCTGTAAATGGAGATTATTGCATCGTCATCTTGTGAGCTTGAGTTATTAATTATTATACGAGTTTTGTTTTTTTAGTGACATAGTACAAAAGACATTGATTAAAATAATATCCTGGTAACTTAAAACGTATTAAATAACTTTAAACAATGCAGAATATTTTTCTAATACGAAGTTTAAATCATGCAAAAAAATGTTGAGGTGGTCTTTTAGTAGCAACAGAATCCTATTGTCCTAGACCAAAATATTTTCAATCAATTATCAGTATTATATATAGACCAAAAGCATTGATTACTTTACTTGACATCACAAAATTAACAATGTGCACTAATTAATCTTTAACATTTAAACTACTATGGATTATAAAATATAATATGAATTGTATAAAATTTAACATCAAATGAAAAGTAAACACGTTATCGTACTAAACAAAAATCCTACCCATTGATTTGCTAAAAAATTCCAACGTAATGAAATTAAGACGGGTATATAAATAAATTTTGGGCCAAACTAGCCTGTTCCCCTTTTACTTTCAATCTCTATGACTTGCATCAATTTAGTTTACATATCGAAATTTGCACTCAAATCAAGTATCAAGAATGCCAAGCTAAATGGATAATCCACAACATTTGAACTCCCGGCGAAGAACAAAACGAAAAGAACCAAAAAGATAACTAAAAATGGAAAAATACAAAACGAAATTTTCTTCAACATTCAAGTATATTCAGCATGATTGTATCCAGAAGCAGCTTATCCGATTTATAATGCTTTGCTTCATAACTGAAAGCGGATGCCATTTATAAAGCACCATCCGATGGCAGTGTGTTCTGAATATTTGAAGGCATAAGAATGTTGAATCCATCTGCTGCAGTAGAAACAATCATTCCCGGAATTTGTGCATGCCAATGCAGTTCTTTCAAATCTTTCTGTCCCTGTTTTAATTTAAAAGAAAACGAATGAATAAACACAATTAACCAGGGAATTCTATCATATACTAATAAGATAAATATTGAAATGGAGTATTTAGACCAACCTGATGAATAAACAGTAGTTGGGGAGGCAGATCTTCAGGAGCATTTACTTGTTCTTTGGTTTTAGCTTTAAATTCAGCCTCTTCTTCCTCATCCTTTTCTAAAGAAAGGTCCCATATTCTGTGGTGCAAGATTACAGAACGTTAAAATCTCAAAGATAAATAATACTACAACTACAACAATTGAACCTTCCACTAAGTGAGATCAGCTAAATGAATCACATGACACCATTGAGTCCAGTCAAAAATCAATTTTTTAGAAATCTAGTTAATTTAAAGGTTTCTTTTAATAAAGAAAAAAATGTACAGCCTGATGTTACAAAGCTCATGGAAGGGTCAGAGCAAAGATAATAACAATATAAAAGGAATATATAATTCTGCAGATAGTGTATCAATATCCTTTTCACTTACGTAAGCTGATTATCAGATGATGAAACAGCCAATGAAGAGGCTTCGTGGGGACTCCACTCAATGGATGTGATTGGGTGCTTATGGTACTCAAAATGTGCTACCACAGAGTCTCCTTCCTACCCACAAATTAATGCACCTTTTACATCAGCTTTAATAACTAAAGCAAATTAATAAGCAGAAAGAAATCAGACAGTGTGAAGTTTCTTTCTAAATCGTAGTAATGCCATTACAGTTCATCATAATGTATCTAGAAGTTCTTTCACAGATGGATTCACAGGCACTTGATTTGCAGGTATAAGATGAAGGGCAAATGAAACATGTTAGCATGAAATGAGGGTATAGAACGTCATTTCAGATAGATTTACAAATAATTATCTAATATGCCAACTTATAAGAGAAAAAGATTTATTAGAATTTGAACCCAGACATGACAACTAGAAATACCATTGACATGAGAGAACATCATGTGCATACAATAATCTTCCCGGTTATAAAGGAAGCAAGTTTACTATTTTTTTTAATATATGGGGAAAAGGTTGGTTTTCATCACTAGACTCAAGCTACCCGTACCTTGAGCAGTCTGAGATCACGAATAGAAATAGTCCCATCATCACTCCCCGAGGCCAACATACAACTAGCCAACCTACTCGGAACAATGAAGTACAAAGTGAAGAGAAATAGAATGGCAATGAAGTCAATGGAACTCATATAATTGATGTTCTAATACCTGTTCCACGACATTACATTAACATCGGCATTATGTGCCTTAAAAGATGCAGCTGGTGACCTCCCCAAGCGAGTATCCCATATTGCAATGCTCCCGTCCACAGAACAAGAAGCAAAAACATGAGGTTCAGTAGGGCTCCACTGCAGGGATGAATTGAGCATTACAACTCTCATTGGATTTATGAATAACGATAAACTGCATATATTACAGAATGGACTGCACAAAACATATACTCAAACCACAAGTAGAGTAACCATCGTTTTGCACATTAGTTCATACTTGTAGATCTTCAACGCTAGCAGTATGTCCAATAAATGGAGTATTGTCAACATTCCATGTAGCAGCAGATGTAGGCTCCCACAGATAAATATTATTATTGCAATCCCCTATAAACATGAACGTCGTCATCAAGCTTCATGTATCTATGATAACTAAATACAAAGACAAGCCAGAGAAAAATTTAGCTAAACAGAAAAAGTAAAACTAAAAGATTACCAGATACAAGCCTTCCAGGAACAAGAGGACTCCAGTCTATTGAATAACCTTCATCTTTGTGTTTAAATTTATATAGTGGGTCCTGATTAAAAACTGCAGCAACTCCTTGGACATCTGTTTCTGTCTCTGCTAGAGCATTGAGATGAGAGCTTAAGTCCCAGACCTACAAATTGATTATTCAAGTATTAGACTATATACTAAACAGAAGGCACAGCTCAGTACTTTATTTAACTTCTCTGATTGAAAGAGATGATACAGAAAAATACGCGCTGCAGTCTTTAACCTTAGCTGCTGCTAATAATTTAAGAATTTTCAGAATTCTAAATATGTCACAATACTAAGACTGGGTAACCACATTTGTATCTAAGCAAAAATATATTATCCCTGGAGTTAGAATTTGTCATATCTCATCCTCCTAGTTACTAGACTTGAACTTTATCTGAAGTATTATAACCCAAATTGTTATAGAGCGATTATTTGACTTATCCAATAAATATTAAACAAACATAAGGCCTTGCTTCAAAAAAATAATTTAGAAGTCGAGCCAAAGTTTTTTTTATTCTATCTGTTTCAGGTTTCAGCCACAGTCATGTATTTAACTAAATGTTTTTCTTTTCTTTTTCCATGGATGCTTTGATATTTATACATTCTTGGATCTGTTAACCTCAAGTTGTACAGAATCAAAATAAATAGATGTTTGCCTTTTTTGCCATATCAGTCATAGTCTCCCAATCCCAGATATCCCCCTCCAAAATGCAGGGAGACAATCTAGCATTACTCCCTTTATAATACTCTCTTTTTTTCCCACCAATAGATCCAAAGTGAGTTCTCGATTCCAACTTTGAAACTCTTATGTTACTCTGTTTAGCAGCTGATTTCAATCATTCAAAATTTCAAACAGTTATTCTGGATTTTGTCTGCAGTGTGCACTCTTTTCTGCTTAATAGAGCATATGTGGAAAGGCTGAACTTGGGCAACGCTATACTAGCATTAACAAAATCCGGGGCATCAGCCCATGGCTAAATAGCAGCATTCAAAACAAAACTGAACAATACAATTGCCTGAAAAGAACTTGACCCATCAAATAACATACTACCTCTATTCCCACTATGAAACAAATGCTCCGTCTGTCTCTCATTTAACAACAGCATTGCAAATTAAAAATAACACCTCTAACCCAACATAAATCATAAACGCTGATACAATAGAATAGAATCACTGCTGCTTCTGGTCTCTAATAGCACGTAGGAACAATTTTCCACTACAAAAGAGATTGAAAGTGCCAAAGCCCAAAGCCAAATAATAACTCATTTCATGCATTAATAGAATTAGGATTCATTTCTAATTAAATCAACAAGATCAATCTAATAAGTTATTTCAGGAAATAAGTCTATTCTAGAGCAATTTAACCAAATGATTACCCAGTGACAGACCAATCCATACATCTCAGAAAACTTAAGAGTTTATAGAGTAATGTAACTATAAACATGCATCAAAGCATAACAAGCTAGGAATGGACTTTTTTGTACGCATCAATGTAGCCATAGGCACACATGATCTCATCAACATTTATCATTACACATGAATTTATTCTATATCCATCATATATCCCGTTTCACTTTCATTTATTCTATCATAAAAAAATGAACACCACTGCATCACATGAATTTGCCCTAGTTTTGATTCTCAAAACACAGGAAGGTTTTCTTGAAATTTAGCTCAAATTAGAAAAATAAAATGGTAGAGAAGTCTGACCTGTACATGACCGGTATCTGCCCAAGCTGCACATATATGGGGATTTTGTGGCATGGAGCGAATACGATTGACACATCCTTGGTGAGTAACCTTCCGCAACTGTAGATGCAAACAGAACAAAAATGTTAGTATGATCAAATTTAACGCAGTGAAGAAATGAAATAATAAAAACTCCAATGCAGAGGAAGATACCTGCAAACTGGGACCCTGAGCACCATCTTCTTCTTCATCTTCACTATCATCATCACTATCACTATCCTCACCATCCATTCCAGAGTCTTCAGCCCCCTTTTTTGGCACCAGCTCACGTCTCTTCCCAGAAATCTTTGATACTTTAAAAATTCCAATAGAATTCCAAGCAGCTTTCTCTGCCTGTACCAGATGCATCATGAACCATCATAACCACATGACTTTGTCAATCAAAAGAAATAAAAAGGAAAAGGACAAAAGAAGCAAAGCAAGTATACAACATAACTAGGAGCTGCTAAGTGTTTAACTTTAGTTTCGATTATTACTAGTTATAATAAAAAGGCAAAAAGAATCTGCATTCAAAACCCAAAATCCCTTAAAGGGAAACTTCTCTGACAAAAATTTGTTCACAAAGCCTGATGTCAACTTCTCTGTCACCCCATGTGACATCACTCATGAATAGTAACATCCTCCAAGTTGATAAGTGAAACGTCCTCAAACAAACAAAAAAACAGAACAAAACAAAGAAAATAAATAAAGCTGACCTGAGTCCCTGCCAGGAAATATACTGTGTGAGGAAATTCTGTGCGAACTAAGCCCAGCGAGTCACGTAAAATATCGAAACTGTCAGAATTCCCAAAACATATTTTATGAACTTGAACACTACCAATAATAAGCAGAAATTAACCATAAGTTCCCAATAAAGGTAGCCATGATTCTCCTTTAGAATTGCAAAGCCAATGCTAAAGGAACTTTACAAAACAATTGTATAATCCTATTACAATTAACAATAATAATACCAACATCAAACAAACGAGTTTGTTCATTTAAAAAAAAAAACTCAAAGTTTCATCCATTCTTTTTCCTTGTTCTGGGGTGCCAAGCAGAAAATCAAAAAGCAAAAGGATCACACCGAAGATACCTTAGACAGGGCCATCCAATGTGAAATGCATGAAGAGAGTTGTAAGCAGAAGGATCACACTGAAGCTCTTCACCTTCCTCCAACTTGTCCACACCCGGTTGCCACACTTTCACCGGAACTTGCGGCGCCAAAGAAGATGATGAAGACCCATCACCTTTCTTCGACCCCTGAATTGATTTTTTTATGAAGCTAAGTTGAAGGGAAAAAAGGCCAAATAAATTAGAGTCATAGAAGGGGTTGAACCTTGTTCTTCCTCTTGGCTTTCTGACGATGTTTAATGCCGCGAGTCATCTTCGATTAGTTCAGAGTTGAGAAACTGAGGGAAAAGGGTTAAGCCACTGAATTGCAAAGGAATCACATAGCAATAGCAATAGCATCTTATGGTTCAAATTCAGAAGACCAACTTAACACACTCAAATCAAAATTCATAACGCATTTGTTGATTGTTTGACTTTGATTCAACATACCTGTTGTGTTGTTCGATGCGGAGACGCTGGGTGGGTTCAGCACAAGGTTTAGGGGTTACTGTGTTGGTGTGGGAGGGGATGTCATAGGGTTTTGTTTGTTTTAATAATAATAAGTTTCATTATTTTTTTTAGAATTTTTCTTGGTATATATTTTGCTGCTTGTTAGGGTAATTTTTTAAAATTTTAAGTTTGTGATTTTTTAATATTTTATAGATTAAAAAATATTTATATTTTTTAAATAACTGTAATAATTATTTTATATGTGAGATTGTACAAAATTTCCTTTTAATTTATTGTAAAAATTATCATATATTTTATTTTTATTTTAAATTAATTTCTTTTTTTTTTGTATAAGGGGAAAATAAAGTTAATAATTATATATAAATAAGGATTCGTTTAAAAAATATTAAATAGCAAGGCCTCGTTAAAAATATTTAAATTACAAATACTAAATTTAAATGTTGTGAAATTTTAAAGAGTTATAAAATAATTAAGTAAAATTAATAACATTAAAATATTTTTTATGAGAATTTCTTCACCACTTTAACATTTAAGGTTATTTTAACCAAAAACAATATAAGTTATTGGCATAGTTTCATATAAAATTATTTAATTCGCACAGTTAATATAAGTAATTATTTAAAAGTAGATGTATAAGAGTGATCTGTTTTTCTTTTAATGTTTAATAGATTTTGAACCCAATTAATTTTTACAGTTTTTAAAATTTTTTAAAAACCAATTAAATTTTGCAATAGTTTTTTAAAAGCTGTTTATTTGCCTTTTTCTCTCTTATATTTTTCTTTCCTTTTCATTTTCGCTGCAAGCCTGTATCGTGCTTGTATTGTACTCCAATAGTTTGCTCAGTTCAGCGGCCTGTTGTAGGCTTTCCTGGATTTGGAATTTAATTTTTTAAATATGTTAAATTTTCTTACAAAATTAAATTTTAAAATTAATTTACAATTTACTTCTCAAACTTCACTTTTGAAAGTAATAAAAAAATTATTAGAGGTACGAAAAGGAGATAAAAAAAGGTAAATTATAATAAGGTAAAAGGATGAATAGAGCCCATACATTTTGGGCCATAAAAGAGACCATGGGCTTCACGTGTCAGAATAAGCATTCACAGAAGTATGCACTTCAACGGAATGTGTCATATTTTGGAGAAAACAATGAATAACTCTCACATTTCTTACAAAACATGCAACTTAAACACAAAACTCCGCGCATTTAATCGATTAATGCATTTTGCTAGCTCGTTTGGTTCCACAAAACATTTAATAAAATGCAATTCCAACGTGGTTATGAAATAAATCAAGCAAATTTGTTCAAATGAAACATTGCACCCTAAAAATGGATAATTTAAAAAAAAGTGTAGCCCATAGAATAAGGAGGGGCTGAAAGGGATAAGAAGAAAAAGCAATGTATAACCCACACGTAGAAGGGTTGGATGGAAGCATTTAAGCACACGTAAAAGAAGGGAATCCATGATGATTGTCATCATGGGCTATCACACAATACTATATTCCAACCCACCAAGACAGAATATAACTGCTTATCTTCCTTTTTCCTTGGCCAAGTGAAATCATTACCCACCACAAATATATATATATATATATATATATATATATATATATATATATATATATATGCATCCCATCTCCCTTGGCCTTATGTTTTCACAAACCTAATCATTCTATTCAAATTTCAAAAGAACCCACTCTAATCCCCTCCATCACTACCCCTTCCTTTTCAAGTCTCTGTTTCATCATGACACTCCTTATCAAGCTCTCTCAATTCCTTTATTCTTTTATCCTTTTCAATTGCATATCACATTCCCCATTCTTTACACAATGCCAAATATTAGATAAATTAAAACCCAGAGGCATCCATAAACCTATATTAATCAATTTTAACTTTTTTACTGAGTTAATCATTAACACAATATCAGAAATGCAGGGTTATATAACTTATATTTATGTTCTCTTGTGTTGCATTTTATAGATGTTGATGATCTGCACCGATTGATTTGGTGAAAGAATGTTCTACCTACAAATACCCTCTACTTTTAAGTGACGATTTCTTTACCAATTTGACCGGCCAACGACAATAAATGCCATTGCTTACACATCCAACAGCAATCATACTTTGGTTCTAGTTAGTCGCTTGTCTAATAATGTATTTTTGTTTAGTTAATGTGTTTAAATTATTATTTATATATTATTGTTTTTAAAAAATTGAGCCTTGATTGGAGCTAATCAAGGTAGCAAAGAAAATTTTGATAGGGCATGGGTTAAATTTATTTAGTTTTCATATAAAATGTCGATTGATAGAATATGAATATGGAAGTGCATCAATCGGTGTCCAAACATAATTTCAAACTAAATATAAATGTAATTAGCTAATATTTTATAATGACCAAAATTTAATCCACTAATGAATGTACTACTATTGTAATTAATTTCATTATTGTTTATGAATTGAATTCATTAATTATACTTTAAAGCAAAATTAAGTTTAATTATCATCTTAACAGGATAAAAGAACTTCAAAGTCTCGTAAAGAATATTCTAACTCTACTCTGAACTCTTATTATCCTATTTTGGTTTTTGTGACCAATAAATCTGAAGAAATAAAATATTTAGAATGAAAATGTAAAAGAAAAGTGGAACAGTAATTAAAGAATGGGGAGAGCGTGGGGAAGCATAATTACGAGTCCTTGGCACAAAGTCACTCATTGCATGGCACTTATGAGGAATGAGTGGGAAATGGCATCGATTAGTTTGAGAGGGCCTTTTCCGTAAACCTAACAAAATCATCATTCATATTACAGACTACAGAGTGCACACAGCGCAAATCATCCCATCCCGGGTGCGTGGAAGAATCATCTATCATGCTTTCTTTAAAAAACAAATTCTAAATTCCCTTTGAGAACTTAATCACAATCGATGAATTAATATAGAAAAATTAGATTAAAAAAAATCGTTGTCATTGGATAAATATCTTAAAAATAATACTATATTACAATTTTTTTATAACCATACTCTCACTCTTTATAAATTTAGATAATATAATTTTTTTTAAAATACTTTATTTCAACCGACTTTATCACTTATATTATAAGTATTTTATGTTATTTTTTAATTAAAATTTTATAAAAAAATGCGTATAATATTATTGTTAAGTATGATATATTAATATAAAAATAACACATTATTATATACAATTTTAATTTTAATTAAAAATAATACTACCAATATTTATGACATAATACACTCTCTAAATTTTGTTATTTATTTTATGTTATATTTATTCTAAGAATATGTTTAGAAGGAAGGTTTTGAAAGAGAAGAGATAAAATAAAATATTTTTAATTTTAAAATAAATTAATTTATATCTTTTATTTAAATATATATGTATATATTAATTTTAAATATATTTATTAAAGATATAAAATTTATCTTTTTTTTCTTCTCTTTAAAAAATTTTCTTCCCAAACCATCTCAAATAAAAACTTTTCGCGTTCAATTATAACGAACAAATTGGACAGTCCGTAATCTACAAATCTAGGAGTATATTTATTGAGTTTTAAAAAATCAAATTTAGGAATATAACAATCTTGTACTCATTCTAAGTTTTAATATCTCTTTCCAGGCATAATAATTTCTTAAAAATGAGTTTTTTTATATATTATTTGAATTTTATTATCATAATAAGAGATGAGAATATAAAACTCCCGTAGAAATATAGAAGTTATTATATATTTAAAAAAATAATTTGTTATTATTGTTTTTTCGTTGAAATTTTAATAATATTCGTAAAGAAACATTATTTTATAATTTATCCAGAAACAATATTCTTAAGAATATATTTATACGTAGTTAGATCCGTAAACGAAAAGGAGTTGAAGACTTAAAGTGGCGCACGGGTGAGTTAAAGATTAGAAGAGAGAGAATGGAAGAAGAAGAGAAGAGGGAGAAGGAATGCCCCTTCAACGCTTCCCTTTCAATTTAATGCTTCTTCTCTCTCTACTTTACCAATTCTTCGTTTTCCAGTTTCCTGCATAATTCTTTTCTCTCTTTCTTCGTGAGAAAATTAAGTCTCTAAATTTTATAGGTTTTGACTCGTACATTGCATAATTTACAGTGTTTCTTGTCTTGTGTTCATCTGGTCTGAACCTGGAACCCCAAGTTGTCAAATTTTCATATGAGAAAGAGAAAAGGGGAGAGGCGGTTTCATGATTTAGTATGAAAAATGCTATCATCTTCTCTCGTGGTTTTCTGTGATTTCTTTGCTTTAACAACAAAGCGGCAACACCACTCGCTCCACTCTCAAAGCTATCAGGGTCTGTATAACTCTCTCTATGTCTCTCACTGTGTAAATTATTCATAATACTTTATTTGATTTTAAGGTTTCTAAAGGATTCTTGTTAAGAAGTGATGTATTACCTTGGATATCTATTTCTGTGAAATATGATCAGGGATAGGAACTGGATTTACTGGACTTACATCAAACTTGGCTATCTATAAGCAATCCTTGCAAAGATCACAGTCTGATATGCTCATTTTTTTATTTAGTGGATACTCACAACCTAATCTCTATTTGGATTTGCGTGTGTTTGGATTCATGTTTGAATGGCCTTGGATTCACGGAAAACGTTAGTGGCTGTAGCTTTTGTGTTGGATCCAAGTGCATAGGTTTTTTTAAGTGTTTCCAAACACAGACAAAGTGTCTGTTTCGACAGGGTTATGGTTTGGATTTTGTGCACTGTTTATTTCTCACGGTGTTTTATACAAATGATAAGCATTGTATTAGCAACTTCTCCCCTTGCATTTCCTATGTGTTCAAGTTGATATTTTGTTCATCCTTGAAATATGAGGTAGGGCCAGTCTTGTTTTGGCCAGATGATATCAGTTTGTGTATTAATTTTATGCTCTGAATTGTGATTATGTTTTTTTCGATGAATCATGCTGGTCTTTCAATCCATATTTTTTTCTACAAATTCATGGAATGAAGTATATGAATATCTTTGATCATCCTTTTCACAGATGGTCCATTGATGACTTCTGTGGCCTTGTAATGGCAGCTGGAAAGTCTGGAAGTTTCAGGATGATGGAGCCTCTAAAGCATCCATCTAAGAAGTCTCGAAGAGATAAGAGCAGAGGAAAATCATCTGGAAGGTCCTCTAAGGCTGCAGTTATGGAACAACAAATTTGGAAAGATTTTCCTGAAGATTTAATCGAGCCTGTGATTGCACGGGTTCCCATTGCCACATTTTTCCGCTTCCGCTCTGTATGCCAACGATGGAATTCTCTGCTGACTTCTCAAAGTTTTTCTCAGTATTGTGCTGAAGTCCCACAAGCAAATCCATGGTTTTACACCATAGCTCATGAACATGCAAATTCTGGAGTCATGTATGACCCTTCTATGAAGAAATGGTACCATCGCGCTATATCAACCCTGCCTACAAAGTTGATAGTTTTACCGGTGGCTTCTGCAGGGGGTCTAGTTTGCTTTCTTGACATTTATCATCAGAACTTCTATGTTTGTAATCCACTGACTCAATCCTTCAAGGAGTTGCCGGCTCGATCAGTTAAGGTCTGGTCTCGTGTTGCTGTAGGGATGACAGTAAATAGGAACTCAACTGGTGTGGGCTACAAGATCCTATGGGTGGGTTGTGATGGAGAATATGAAATTTATGATTCAGTAAGAAAATCTTGGAGCTGTTCTGGAAACATGCCTGCAGACATTAAGCTGCCATTCTCACTCAATTTTAGGTCACAGGCTGTTTCAATTGACAGCACACTTTACTTCATGCATTCAGATCCAGAAGGGATTATTTCCTATGATATGACAACTGAGGTTTGGACACAGTACCTAATCCCGGTGCCATTGCATTTGACTGACCAGACACTGGCTGAGTGTGATGGTCGAATCATGCTTGTGGGGCTGCTCACAAAGAATGCTGCCACATGTGTGTGTATATGGGAGCTGCAGAAGATGACGTTCTTGTGGAAGGAGGTTGACAGAATGCCAAACGTATGGTGCTTAGACTTATATGGGAAGCACGTTAGAATGACTTGCTTGGGAAACAAAGGCTTGCTTATGTTGTCTTTAAGATCTAGACAAATGAATCGACTGGTTACTTACAACATGGCCAGTAGGGAATGGCTGAAGGTTCCTGGGTGTGTGCTGCCGCATGGAAGGAAAAGGCAATGGATAGTATATGGTACTGCATTTTATCCATGCCTCACTGCAATGCCTTGATTTAGCTTGTATAATACAGCGATGGCCTGAGAATATTTCCCTTGTATCATTAGTTTCTTGCAATTTGCTGGCCGTTGATGCTGATTGCTGATGCAGGAAAGATGATGTTCATCACTGGTTTAACGAATATGATACGAATGTGTAATACTTCATGTTTCTTCATGCTCTCAGGCATGTACCTCAATCTTTCAAGACTTTTTTCTGTGTATATGAAGAATGACAATACAAACGGCTTTCATTTATCAGGTTTCAACTCAAGGCAAATACTTAGAAGATTGTGAAGGTTTAGTTCCTGTTTGATTTTTCTAAGTGGGAAGATCCAATGGGCGCTTGAATTACCAACAAGAATTTAGATATCTGTGGAAATTCATACAAAATTTAAACCTCACAAACTGGGGAGAGGCATATCCAGAGCCTTAAATATTGTGGCCTCTCTTTCGGAGCAATAGGAACTATAAATATGGGTTGTTCTGGTGCCACTTGCCCGTCTCATGCAGAACCCTTGCTCTTGTAATCTTACATTACATCACATAACTTCATGTTCTTACAAATTTGCTGACTCAAGAAATGCATGATCTTGGTTCCATGCATGTGCTGTGACTGCTGTCTGGAAAGTGAAAAATGTGGCTTTTCTTGATCTGTTCCCAGCTTGTCACACGGGGAAGAAGCTGGGATTCCAATTTTGATGCTTCTTCCATTATTCATCAATGTTGTACTAAGGTCATTTTTATGTTTCAGTTTAGATAATTGTCTCTGCCACTACGATCTCATAATATAGATAGCTTCTTTTGCGTCTGATCACAGAATAGAGATTTTTTAAAAAAGTAGCTTATTTCTCTAGTCAAATGATGAACTGCTTTGCTTGAATGAGAAAAAAAAAACATGTATATGTATTTGTTTAGTTGTAGAGAAAATAAGAGAAGAAAAAAATTGAGAAAAAAGTTGACTTTAAGAAAAAAATTCTCTCAACTCGTCAATTAAAAGTTCCAAAACTTCCCCACTTATTTTCTTCCTATCAAAACAAACAGCTGAAGAATGACTTCTTTTAGTGTTTTGTGTTTCCAGTATGGTCTGGCCGCTAGGAATACAATTAATAAGAAGAAAACATAAAATTGAAGAAGCAAAAAAAAGAAGAAAAGGGACTCCTTAGTAACTAGACAAATCGAATCCCGTGACTAGTTGATGCGATTCCTTTAGAGGGCCGTATAAATTGAATACTGGGCATCAAATCAAATTGAAAAGGGAAAATCTAAACCATCGAAACCTTAATAGATTTTATGAATTGCCGTATGACCGTATCCCTGCTTGTTTTAGTTGATGGTTGAATGGGTGCGCATCCTTGGTTCATTTTACGTTTTCTTTTTTTTATATCCTTTCAAACAAAAACAAACTTGTGACCTACCAAGCACAATTCTGCGGGAAGCCTCAAAAAACCTCAAAATAATTGGATAACTGCTGTCATGAAGAAATAGACATTGTCCATGATCCATGTAATTCATCCTGTGCTTAAGCACATCCCATCATTTCCTTCCATGGCTGCTTCTATTCTGCTACATTAATTCGGATCGGAACAATAAAATTACGCGTCCGCTGCAAGCATATGTATCAACAAAATTATGCTTCCACTACAAACATGTATCAATATTGCTTTGCAATTATCGTTTACAGGTAAACAGTAAATCTTTCCTTTAATAAATTTATAAATATTATTAATTTAAATTTTATTCATTTTTTTGCATTAATCCTTAGTTTTATAAAATCTTTCCATTTTAGTCATTATAAAATCATGAAGTAAAAATCATTTTTATGAAATTTTAAAGTTCTTTAAAAAAATTATATAATTTGCCTTAATATTTAGTTTTATATAAAAAAAATCATTTTAATTGACAATGTCGGTTGTATAAAAAAAACTAAAATACATTTTGTGAAATTATAAATTAAAATGAAAAATTTATAAAATCATGAAGTAAACTGATTAACATTTTCAACCTAAGGAACTAAAAAAGGGTGAGGTTCAAGACGTCTTCAGTCCTTGCCACAGTAATTAGATCTCCCCCATTCCCTTTGGTCGAATAGAATTGAATATAAGACGCACAATAGTCGTATTTATAATTTAAAATTCTTAAAGTTCATCAAAACATGAACAGGAACGGGGTCTAGTACAACGCATGTAGAGAAGTATTGCCATTTTCTACGAGGCTAAGAGGGAGAATATGACACGATCCAAAAAGCAGCTCCATCAAGCCATGCCTCCACTCGTTGCTGTCCTGATTATCTGGAAGAGAGCTGTCCAAGAAAAGCAAACATATGCGTCAAAGAAAGTTTAAAGCACGGGCCATTGAAAAAGCAAATAGGAAGAAAGGTAAACACAATCTACAACACACCAAAGCAAATATCATCCTAATCCGTAGAATTTTTTTTATGAATGAAAAAGATCCAACATTTCATTCGACAAGTATTGCATTCCAATAATAATCACATTTTTTCTTTTATCGCAGCGGTCATCAGAAAATATCCCCTCTTCAAATTCAGGGTCCCAACCCTAAATTAGGTTCTCACTTTGGCTATGAAGGCATGAGAATATTCTCGTTAACCACTAACACTTTTGGAATACAAGACATATCATATATCATCAACCAAAGAAGCAACATAACAATATAATGGTCCCTTGCTTATTTTCATGGGAAAAAAAAACTCAAGACTCTAGAATCATACCAAATAATGATAGATACCCAGCCAACAACCAAATGTTTACAATTCAGTCATGCTAATTTGCAATAACATAACATACTCATTTTTTTTCCGGGTGAAACTCTAATTTTAATTTAAAAATAACAAAAAGATTGAACCTAAGTTTTGTACAAATAAAATTATAGACGAACATCATAAAAACGAATAATTAGGGTGAAATTAAAATAATAGTCTTACATGATCCGATGACAACAAAGACGAAGAAGCCGAGCAGCACTGGGCCAACGGGATAGTCCTTGGCCTTTTTAGTAGAAGTTTCTGGCACAAATCCTCTTTTCGTTATGTTCTTCTCGAACTTCTCCACCTTCCTGTCCGCAAGGCGCCTTGATGTCGTCTACACGGAACCACAATTTCCACATTCAATTTCAATTAAATTCGCAAAACCAAAACAAATCAAACGAATCAATTCAAATAGCACAGCATAACACAATTGGATTGGTATGGTACCGAGTCAGATCAGATCCATAAGCTAGTGAAGCATTTCAGTTTAGAATCACAAAATTAAGGAATTAATTCGATGTATAAACGACAAAGACATTCGTTAACAAAATTATCACCGTAAGATTTGATAGGTTTCTGACTTCAATTAGAGGAATCAAGTGAAATCAAATGATTTCTCAATAATTTCAAACACGACAAATTGAATATTCCAGATATGGAAAATTAAAATAAAAGAAAAAATGATAGATCTAAATCGAGAGTGTGAAAGTGAACGAAGCAGGGAAGAGAGGATAAAGAAGTACCATGTTTGGTTGCGGAGATTAAGGATCGCCGGAAAAGGGTGGACGAAACAATGGATCGCCGGATAGTGAAAGACGGTGTTCTTCCGGCAGTGCCTCTCCGACCTTATTTCTTGAGTTTGTGAAAGTGCGATCCAAATGAATGAGGATTTCCTGATATTCCCCGTTTGATTTATTTATTTATTTATGGAACCTAATTTTGTCGAACTTTATTAAATACGGTTAAATAAATGGATCTCCGAGCATCGCGTCATGCTTTCTTCGCTATTGGCCAACTCACGTTACTTTGGACACGCGGCATAATGGTATTGGACCAGTTTTAACCGAGTGCGTGAGAATAAAAGCATGTTTGATTTCCGTTTTTAAAACAGAAAACTATTTTAAAAACAGAAATCAAACCTACCATAAGTCTTTAAAATTATTCGAATTAGGTGCATTGTTAGTTTGTTACGTCTTAATAATCAATTGTCAATTTACGATTATATGTCGATAATTTAATTACCGAACATTAACTTTGAAATACGCGAATTTTGCGTGACCGTTTCACCTTAGAACTAGAGAGATGTTTCTCTTCCGGTTGTCTTTGACCGAGTAATTAAAATTATTATATTGTATGTATTTGAATTAATAATTTTGTTTTAAATATAATAATTTTTTAATTAGATAAATTTAATGTCAAATAAATAATAATAATTTAGAGAAAATTTAAAAATTTACTTATTATACTTACTATTTTGTATTTATTTATTTTTATTTTTTATAATTACCTTTCACTTTTAGGATCTTTTATTATTGTAACATGTTTTCATGGGAATGATGGGATGGCTGAATGAGTCTAAACTTTTATTAAAAATAACTGGCAAGCTGTATATATGTTTTAAATTTAAATGAACCGAATTTTAAAATTATTACCATTTTAATTAATCTTAAATTAAAATTATTTTTTTAATTTATTTTTTATATTTAATATAATAAAATATGAATTTTATTAATTTGAGCCCGTGAACGAGTTGAACTATTTAAAGGAGCTGTTGGAGCAGGAACAAACCAATCTTCTATGATTTTAAATGCCTAATGCCCAATTTGATCCATATCATGAATCCATTCCCTAGATTCAATGGTAACGTGTCTCACACGATTAGTAAATTTGATATTTTTGGTCATCAAAGGCGGCAAATACGTGTTGAATATGTCTTCCAGGCCCAGAATAAATTTTATTAACCCATTCAAACTGAAGTACTCTTAGGCCCATTAATTTTTTATGATTTTCTTGTCGAATTTTGGGCTTCAGACATTGTACTGAAAAAAAAAAAAACATTGCAAGCCTGTGTACTGATTTTAAAAACAATTGACAAAAAAAAAAAAAAACATACACCTTAATCTTGCGGCTCAAGTGCTTAGAACAAACAAGTTATATCCAAAATTAATTAGAGTTTGTTTATTTTCTGTTTCTAAAAATAATGTTTTTAAGTAATAAATAATTAAATTTATTTGTTAATATAAGTTTTGTTTTTATTTTTTACTTAAAAATAATATTTTAAAATATAATTTTTAAAAATTTAAAACTAAGAGAGAAGGAAACAAACTTTTAGAATATATTTGTTTCCTTTTTTTAAAATACTTTTCTCTTTTTAAAAATAAAAGATAATACAAATTTGTATTATATTTTTAAAAATAGAAAACTATTTTTAAAAGGAAAACAAACATATTCTTAGAAATCCAATGTTAAATTTTGAAACTTTTCAAATTTTTTTCTTTCTCTCCTAATCATCCTTCTTTAATGATTAAAATGAAAAATTTACGACCTCATATTGAACAAAAGAGAGAATTTTTTTTTCCAGTTTCCTAATAGCACATATTTTGTTTTTTAAAATTAAAAAAAATTACGAAGAAAATTAGCTATATAAGAGTACAAAAGAGTTACTAAAAAAGAGAAAGAAAGTACGACATTTTCAAACATCTCAGCAAGCCGGTATATTTACTTATGTTAAATGAAACTGGTGATTGTCGCCTGAAATTTTTTTTAAAATTGTCAATTTATTTAACTAAACCACTTCAGAGCAAAAAACAAAACAAAACACTTGTTAATCTTTATACTTTCTATTATATCAATCCTTAAAACTTGACACATACAAGTTCTAATTCTGACTGATCAATTAATACTATAGTCTTGCTCATTTTAAACACCTTTTTTAACTGTTTTTATTTTTATAAAACCGCTTTTAAAAAGTTAATGAAAATAAATGATTATTTTTTCTAAAACAAGTTGAATTAAACACACACCAATAAGTTTATAGAAACACACACACAAATAAAACTCTAGTGATGCTTCTAAGCCATTTATGCTACTTCCTAGTTTACCCTCTTGTTTTTGTTCTGTGTCTTTTATAGGCACAAATGTGTTATTTTTTGGGTCTGTGGCAGCTGTGATTGAAATGAAGAATATTCCCTGGCTTGCAGAAACATTTTGACAGCGTCTGCTCAAAAGGTTCCATGGTAAACTTTTGCGGTCCTTTGCACCTAAAAGAAAATGCTCCATAAACAATTCTTAAATAAATTAAAAATACAACGTAAAATAGACCATTTGAAGATTGATGACTTTATGTTTTGAAAAAATGAGAATTATTTTCAAAACGTGAATATTGATGCTTTTATGTTTTAACATTTTTTATATCATTATTTTGAAAACCTTGTTGGCCCCTTCAGGCGAGTAACTGAAATGGGTTTTCGCTTAATTTGATCTCAACTTGCCTCTTCCAAATTAAACTAGCACTCTACCTGTCCCTACTTATCTTGCGGATCTTAGAAGCATAAACATCAACCTGTCCTTGTAAAAATGTTTAAAACCCACGTTCAACTAATCTTGCCCCACTCATATTTTCAATCAAAATTTTGTACCATTAATATGATTAACTACAATAGTAAATGTTAATTATTATATATAATAATAAATACAATAATCGAGAAATATTTAAATACAATTAGCACTTTATCAACACAAGTAAATTGTGGCAAAAATGAATATGAAGGGAGTTAACCTGACTTCAATTAATACCCAGCTAGCGTGTCCCTGTAAGATTAATGGTACTAACTTGCAACCCTCATTATCCTAGGGAGACAGACTAGTAGCTTGTTTGGTTGAGCAGCTGCTGTATTGCATCCTCACACATAAATGAAAGCATATTTTTAATAGTGATTTTTTTAGTTTAATTTATTTTTAAGAATGATACATTTTATTTTTATAAATTGGTTCATTTAAAGTAATTTTGTTTTCAAAGAGACAAGTAAATGGTTATATATGTCCACAAATAAATCAAGGGAACAATATAAATCATTTTCTACAATTTATTATACATAATACAAATATAAATTTTATCATAAATTTTTATTTTTTGCTAGAAATAATCCCTAAATTTAGAAGAGGCTGGTCATTTCAACATTTAAAAATAAATAAATTTAAATTATTTTGGATTCCGAGTATTGAGATTAGTGCTCCAAAGTGAGGACGATTGAATCTAGCCAACTTGTGTAAGGACATAGTGAAGTTCATAATGAGCTCTTCCCCATTCTTATTTGCTCAATGAGAATCTTGATTTGTTGGCAAGTTGTAAATTGAGCGAGAAATTGTTAGACATCCTCCAGATGTTATTTGCAAGTTTCATAACCAGCTTCGCATTGATCCCAGGGGAGTGTTATATGGAAATAGTACAATTGTGGCTACTTTGTGGAGGAATCATTTTCCAATACTTTAACACATTTGTCGTAGATTAGCAAGCATTGCGAAGCTTTATCATAACCCTCTACCAGTTGGTGTTGGTGTTGGTGTTGGGTTTGAATAGATTGTAGTGTCTGGTCATACATAGAAGTTGGCTTGATCATGCATGTAATTATTGTATTAAACAAATAGATTTCATGCATTTATTGCTGATAGATATGTTCAATAAGGAACCTACGGTTCAATAAACACTACAAAAAGAAAAAATTGTCACTTATTAATAAACAAAAATTCTCAAATGTTATGGTAGCTTCTGTTAATATAACCTTTGTCTGAAAAAAAAAATATATTAATATAAACATGCATGTATACTAACAATATAATATTATGCCAATTTGTTAGTAAAAATATCATTATATATTAATTTATTAAATATTATTATAATAAATTATTTGTTAATAAAAACTTTGAAAGTATACACTAACATTTTTTAAATCAAAATTTATACTAACAAAAGTTATCTTTAACCCATAATTATTTTTATTTGTTAACAAATGATATTTTCTTTGTACGTAACCATATTTTTCAATCACTGCCTAAATGATGACTCATAGATCTTGTACGTAAACCTCTTTTTGAACTAACTACCACCAATATGATGTCTTTGAAATTAATGTCTAATAAGGTTGTGTTTGGTTTGGCATTTGGGAGGTCAAACCCTTGCTTGTAGATTGTGTTTTGTCTCGAATTCATATTGCTGTGCACGTATTTTTTAACAATTATGAGAGAAACATTCTATGTTTTCAATTTAGTTTTGGACCCCTCCTTGTGAGAGCCATAATATTTGTTACTTTTGCGCGAGTTAAACTTTAGTTGTGTCATATTGATTAAACAAGAAATTCCTTCTAAATTACTATCATATCTGTCACTATTTTAATAAAATAAATAGATAGTTGTATTTTTTAATTTTTGGTGTTCAAATATATTTTTTAAAATAGAACATTAAGTTATAATACCATTTAACTTAGCTTTGAATTAATGTTATCTCAAATTTTCAAATAAGAAATGTAATTTTGATTTATAGTTTGTACTTGCAAAAATAAAGTATACAACTTTCGTTTATTTTAAAAGATACAATAATTATTATGATAGTTATTGTTATCATTACTCTTAACATCACGCAGTTATTTTATTTTCTAAGTCACTTATTTTTTTATTACTATTCATTGTTGTTAATTTTATTATAATAATTATTATCAGTATTATATATATATATATATATATATATATATGTGTGTGTGTGTATTGTCATGTTATTATTATTACTGATAAAAAATTATAAATATTATCATAATTACCATTATTATTATCACAAAAATTGTTATTTATAATTAATATATAATATTTATTATCTTTATACTGTCATTGCTATAATTATAATTGTATTATTGTTAATATAATCACTAG